CAGCAAGTCAGCGGTTCAAATCTCACCGGCTCAAGGTTGACTCAGCCTTCCATCCTTCCGGGGTAGGTAAAATGAGGACCCATATTGTTGGGGGCAATGTAAATATATATACATTGCTTACTGGTGTACACCGCTTAGAGAGTGTGCTTGCACTTAAAGCGGTATATAAGTCTCATAAATAAATAAATAAATTTGCACTTCTGGGTGCCAGTCCTTTTGCAGTCCTAAAGCAACAGACAACGGCACCTCTTTAGTTTAATACTAACATTGTCACTGGAGGTTTTAAGAAGAGACTGGACAGCCACTTGTCTGAAATGGAATAGGGTCTCCTGCTCAATCAGGGGGTTGGACTAGAAAACCTCCAAGGTCCCTTCCAACTCTATTATTCTATTATTCAGTATTTTCTTAGAAATGTTCTTATGTCCTCCAGAAGAACTCATATACACCTGAATGTATGTTTTGTTAGCAAAAGGGTGTAAATAGTTCCTTACATTTTTCTGTAATGTATGCTCTTTGCAAAGGATTTTCTCCATTTTGTTTTTAATATTTGCATTTTGTATACTTTGGGGGGTTTGAGAAACTACGATACAAAATTCAGAAAAGTGCAGATGGAAACGATAATTGCATTCTAGAACTTATATTACTTTTTTAGATGTTGGATGGATCTTGGTTCTCCACGAACCCCCTAGTTAAAAGAAATAAATTTTGGGCAGCAGCTTCAGTGTTTGCCTCCTCATCTCCTAGGAAAGCTGAATTTAGTAGACCTGGCAGGATCTGAGCGTGTGGGTAGATCAGGTGCAGAAGGGAGCCGGTTGCGTGAGGCTCAATACATCAACAAGTCACTTTCGGCTTTGGGAGATGTAATTTATGCGTTGCGTTCCCGCCAATCCCACGTGCCGTTTCGCAACTCCAAGCTGACGTATCTCCTCCAGGATTCTCTCAGTGGTGAAAGCAAGACCCTCATGATGGTCCAGGTGAGCATTTCAGAGAAAGGTGGACTTGGGTGGATTTTTCAGGTAACCCAGGGACAAAATGCAGGGTCCTGATTTTGCATCTGGCGTGCCGACCACTTTGCTCCTTGTTCGATGATTATGTCAGATGATGCGTATGAGTCCTGTACATCAATGGTCAATGTTGCTCTCTAACTGACACTTTTTGGATAATTCAAAAAACGCTTTTATAGCTTGGCTGGGTAATCTCCCAGCTGTGCACATCCTGCTCTGGACATTCACCTCATCCTCATTTGAAAAACCAACCGAAAGCCCCTCTCAGAATTCAAAGCCTTGGTTCCATTGTGTCCATCGGTTGGGGTGTGGGCCACAAAGCACAAACCGGGGACAAGACCACATGCATGCTAAAACTGGTTTCTGAATGTGGATCTTTATTTATCCAAAACAGCATTACAGAAGTTGCTCCCAAAGTGAGATGGGCAGCATATAAATATAATAAATAAATAAAAGCTCTGAGTAACTCTCAAGTCTCCAAAAATAGAAGAAACCTTAAAGGGGATACCCCCTCCAAACCCCCACAATAATTAGTGGATTAACATGATCATTATTATGTAGGTAATTCCCTTTCAAATTCTGTTGGGGTTTGGCTTTCTTGTCTCACCTGTTCACTTCCTGAGCGGCTCCTGAAGTGGGGTCCCTCGGTCAGCCATTCTCGGCCTGGAGACTCAGCCAAGGCCCTGGGAAGGCCAGCTGCCCAGCCGCAACATCTCCTCTGCTAGGCCCTTTGGGGCACCTGGAGTCACATTCCTTGTGGGCCGCTTGGGCGTCCTGGGCTGTGACTGCCCATTCCTCCTCCCATTTCACAGGTTTCTCCGGTTGAGAAGAACACAAGCGAGACGCTCTGCTCCCTCAAGTTTGCCGAGAGAGTTCGCTCTGTGGAATTGGGCCCTGGCACTCGGAGGGCAGAACTGGGCTCCTGGACCAGCCAGGAGCACTTAGAGGTACTGGGATTTCCTGCCTGCTGGGTTTCCTGGGGCAGATTCTCTCCTTGAACGTTGCTGTCTCACGTCCTTGGGTGCAGCTGTCTTGAGGGAGGGAGCATTGAGTACTTGGTTCCGAGGGCTCCTGCTCTGCCTTGATGTCTCTGGGGGGGGGGGCAGTTGGTTCAGCATCTCATCCAGGCTGGTGGCTTCCGTGTCTTTCTGGCACGGACTTTCCCTTTATGGCTACACAGGCTGGGACTCAGCACTGAGGGAGGGATGGCATCGCTCACCAAGTGGAATCTGAATCTGGTGTAGAAAGGGGTGGGGTGTGTGTCGGGGGGGGGGGAAATCGTGGTTGTGTGATGGCTTTGGCAGACGGAGCCCCTGTCACATCATCTGAAGGAACCTTCCTGGTAACAGCCACAGCTCTGTTTTCCTGTGGCTGCTTGTCTCCAGGTGGAGCCCTCTGCCGTCCTGCAGCCCTGCATCCGAACTCAGCCTTCTCCTCGGACGGGGCGATCAAGCTCACTTCGGGCAAAGCTCCAGAGCACAGGTAAGAGCAGAAGAGGGCAAGAGATGAGAAATTTTGGAAGCTGATGGAGTCCACCATCTGTCCCAAGAAGGAACAGCAGCAGAGTGCCTGATTCAGCCAAAGAGAACTGGGTTGGAGATCATTTTGAAGATGCTTAAAAGGGGTTGATGGTCATAGTGTTGTGTAGCTCCATACACAAAGCAAAGTGCCTGGCAAGTGTAACGGAACAGCAGATGGCATAGGAGCCTCTCCTGTGGTCTTATTCATTGCCACATACCACCCACGGGGTCATATGTGGATCTTCTTCACAAGCTTCATTAGGAACATGAGGCATCAAGTCAGATGTTTATCTGGTTATTTTGTTAGCCAGATACTTCAGGGGAACCTTAAAAACCATCCAAGATATGTGATGTTCCATTAATCAAAGCAATTTTTGCACCCATTTGCTATTTTGTGAGACAAACTTCAGTTATTCCATTTGATTTCAGCCTGAAATTAAGGAGACGGTCTGTTTACCTCCAGGTGAGTGCAGATACAGGCTTGGATCACAAGATCTTACTCTGATTAACAAGATGTTAACTTCTGCTGTGGCCAGAATGAGAAAGAAAGCAGGATCAATGCTGCCTTTGGGCTTTGGTCAAGGCTGCACGGTTGATCCTTGTCTCCAGAATTAACATATCAGACTGAGTCAGGGACAAGCATGAAATCCAAAAATTCCAGTTTCCCTTTTAATGTTGCTTTTTGTTCTTTGTAACCCAACTGAATATTGGAAGGAATTGCGTAATGCAAACTGGAGCTCTGTTTTCCCGCCTGTTAACAGTCCAAAACCAGAATGGAACACCACCAAGCGTTATGTGTGGCCAAAGCTGGCAGAAGACAGACTTCAAAAACGGGCCAGATGGGTTTGGGACTGCAGAGGGCAGAAATTCTGAAAATTCTTCCCGGGTATCTTGCTGGGGGGGGGACAGAATTTTTGCAGTGTTCTCTTGTGGGCCCCCTCATGTTCCCTGGCCCACCTTGTGCTGCTGGGCCACGGCCTGGTTTTTTTGCCTCTCAGTCTGATTTAATTCTGCAGTCCCTCTTCTGGTTTACCTGCAAAAACAAATGCTACAGAAGACAAGTACAGGAAAAATAAAGTGAGACTGAAAATAGATGTCCTTTGTATATTGAAATGCACTAAATATATACAAACGAATGCATTTTTACTTTTTACAAAAGTAAACGGACAGATTTGTCCCGTTTTGTTCCCTTGTGCTGAAATGCTTTTGGCCTGGCTCATCAAGTTGCTTCCTTCCGATTTGTCCTCTGCTGGGTCATGGAAGCGCATGCTCCTCGTGGATGCTACCTCAGCTGCAGACGCAAAAATAGCTGCATTGTCTGAAACGCTTTCTGTGCAGCAATCACAGATGTGATATCCGTACTGAATGGCCCAAACTGATTTTAATTCCAATGGGTTTTTGGAGTACAATGGCAGTTTTTAAACATCCAGAGTAATAAGAAATAGAGATTTAATTTTGCTCAGAGGAAACAAAACAAATAGAACTACTTGACCCATTGACCTTAATGGGTATATTCTAGGAATAATTAATGAAGCCTGCGTGAAACTCCCAATTCTAAGCAGAGTGCCTGCATCATTTAGATTTGGTGTTCGTTTGCTGGATGTTCTGCACAGGGAAAGTTTTGGGTGCTGCATGCAGGAGCTGGCTAGCCTGGATGCCTGCAGCAAAACAGTCGGTGTGTTGGGAAGCAGTGGTTCCTTAAATGTTCAGTGAGATTCTCTGCCAGAATTCATTTATGTCTGTTTCTTTGTTTTAGGGAAACCGAGGCCAATTCCTGTATAAAAACTGGCTGAGGTCAGGAAAAGCTCTTTTCAAGGAGGACTTTGGGAAACCATGCTGGCTTTTCTAAAACTGCATCCTAGGCTGGGCCTACAGCACAGATGCCCAAGGGTTTGGATCAGACATCCCCGTCCACTGCTGGCAGTGGGGTCGGGCGCTTGGAACCATACGGACTTCAGGAAAGGGTCATTTCCTGATTGACAACTTTTTAAACACGTTTCTTTTTTAAAAGAGCAGAGGCTGTGAACACACTTTGCTCTTATGTACCCTTTCCTTTTCATTTTTATTTGAATAAAAATGTTGCATCCAGTCGGAATTCTTGAAGTCCAGATAAGTATTGTTAATATTTTATTTTATTGTTCTATATATTTCAACTCAATTTTACATGGTACTGAAGGGCAATATGAAAACTACGATTGAAATATAGTCAGGCCGAGCTGAAGGTGTTCTGAATTATCCTTTCATTTCACACACAATTCTTGGCAGGGCCTAAAGATAGAATTTGTCTTTCCAAACTTTTAAAAAATCCTTCATAGAGTAAGTATTGGACAGGTTGCTGGGTTAATGGCAGATTCCACTCCCCCCCCCCTTGCTGTCTACTCTCCACCTGCTCATCTTTTTGGTTATCAAATTGATGTAATTGTGTTGGTTTTTTTCATTCTTTGATCTTGAGCTACGTAAGAGCATCTAACCAGCATCAGCTATAAAGGAAGAGGATTTATTCTGCAGAATGTAGCCACACAGAGTTCCGGTTACAAACATTTAATAAAATTTCCCATAAGTTACAATTGTATGACCAGCTGGCTCCAGCAATGCAGGGAAAGTCCATTCTGTTCCCCAGGACTGAGACAATTTCCACGGGGGGAAAAAGCCAGTGACGGCTCCGTCTGTTACCAGAAAGGCCTGGCTCAGGTTCTGCAGCCCAAAAGGCAAACGGGAAAGTCCTGGTGCAGCCGTGTCATGGATGCCAGCCGCCCTAGACCGACCCCCCACAATTCAGGATGGCTGGAGAGCAGGACACACGTCGGGGGTCAGGGAGGAAAAGGAGGGGCTGAGCAACGGAAGCTTTTGGCCAGAAGGGGATCGATCAGGCTGTGTCCCCTCAGCAATCTCCTGAAGGCAGCTGGGGGTGGTGGTGCAGGAAGGTCAGTGGTGCCACAGCAGGGAAGTCTGCTCCAAAAGGTCTCCTGTAAGGCACTGGCCCGGGTGCAGTGCGGAAGAGCTGCCTCCCGGAAGGGCGCGAGGTGACAGACCCTCCCCCTGGCCGCATCTCCAGAGCTGGATGGAGCTGGAGGGCAAAAGCAGCCCAGACTCCCTGGCCGCAGCGGTCACTCCAGGACGGCCATCAGGAGGTGCAGCTCCCGGAAGGCACTGCCGTGGCGGCCACTGAGGCCAGACCGGTTCTTGATGAAAGTGCTGATGGCCTTCAGTTGTTTGTAGCACACGTGGCACTTCTGGAGCCTGGTCGGGGAGAAAAGCAGCTGGCAAAAGGGTGCACCACTCTGGAGGGCTCAAATATTATTTTGCTTATTTTTATAATGCACTGTCAGAGTGAAGAATTAATGAAGTAATGGTATTTAAATCATTAAATCAGGAAAATGTGTGTGTGTGTATGAGGGGCCGGCAACGTCAGGTGAACCTACGGGTCCTCTTGAAGACAATCCCTCCTCACCCCGAAGGTCCTGCATTGACCTACTGCTGAGATGAATGAGCAAAGAGAAGGCTGAAGGCCCCCATGAGTCCCTGCCCAGGGGAAGGCAGCCTTCATGGGGCTCTGCTCCCTAAATACCTAGTGCTTTAGCAGGGAGGGCGGGAGCAAGGCTTCACCAAAGGCGAAAGGGCACGTGAGCACACAAGCCATTGGGAACTGCCTGTCGAGCCTGGTACTGCTTCCCATCCAACTGTCTGGAAATTCCTCTTGTATGAGCTAAGAGGAGAGGCTCCTCATTACCTCTTCACACCAGGAACACCGGGAACATTTCTGTCTTTGAAACTGGGAGGCAAAACAATCTGGGGCTTTAAAAACGCAGGTCGTCCTCTTTAGAGATATCTTGGGAAAGAAGCTCTGGAAGTATCTTGCTTTCTGAGTTGGGGGGGGGGCAGGGAGCAAATAAGAACTTGATACCATCAGAAGCCTTGACTCAACCTTGTCAGAACATCCCATTAGGTAGAGTGGAACATGCGTGTGCAGGTCCTGACATTTCTAGTCTAAATCTGGAATTCACTTATGTTCTGTGAGGGGCAGAATTACTGAAGGTCACAACTGGTTCACTGCATCCCAAGTGCAGAAGCCTGCTGGAAGAGAAGTGAAGACAGGTTACCTCTCTTCTCGGGAGATGTCCACTCCCACCGACGGGGGTGCGGTGAGGATGTCCGTAATCAGGGGCAGAAACCTTTGCAGAATTAGCTTCAGGGACGCACAGCCTGTCTGAACGTAACTGGCACAAGAGAAGGAGAACTGTGGAGAAGAAATTGCCTCAAAACCCACCCCGTCCCCAAAGGATAAACAGGTGGGGAAAGAAAAGAAATGGGATCCCAACAGTTTTGGTCCTCCTTGGCAGGTAGACCCCCTTTCAGTGTCTCCAGAGTGTTGCCCATTCTCCCCTCAAGAGTTATCCAGTGACGACTTGCTCAGCATCTTGACTGCAGACAGGAGACCCCTCTGCTGTCAAGGGCAGGACCCGGAGCTTTTGACACAAAGCTCTCAGACACAAGGAGAGCAAATGAGATGGAGCTTTCTTGAAAGTGCTTTTAACGAATAGTGATAACTGTGGAGTCCTTGGTGCTCCCTGAGCTGGGTTGTTTGTATGCAGATCTTTTATTACCCAACTAGGGACATCATCACAGCCCAAGGAGCATATGGAAAGCTTACAGCCAGAAGAAAGAGTTACCTTTCATATTTGCTTTGCAGAAGCTTTTCTATTTGTGGCAAGACAACCGTGCACAGATCCAGTTTCCAAAGAGATCTGGGGAAAAGAGAGAGGTTATACTGGACTATGGCATCCTTCACTTCTTGAATCCTCAGGCAGAGACTGCAAAACCTTGGCTGAAGCAGAGGACAGCCAAAGTCAGCAGAAGGCGAGATGGACTGTGCCAACCGTTCAGACTGCAGATTATATTCCCACCAGGAATGAAAGCCTGCAGTGGCTTCACGATCAGCCCCAGAATAGCATTCGGTGCCCTGAACCACCCACGGCCCCCCGTGTCCCTCCAGACAGGACAAGGAGAATATATGGTCCCCAGGAGAGCCTGTGGGATGCAGAGCACGTTACGTGCCAAGGGAGCAATCCCACCTCTCACTATACCAGCTCAGCTAAATGCCATTCTCTGAAACCTCCAGGGTTTGCAGGCATCAGCACCCAGTCACTCCCACCAACTCTCTCCCCGTGGAAGAAAAGCGGATGGAGACTTACGCCTTTTGGTTTACAATGTTCAGAAGGTCAACGATCACTGAGAGGTCATTGATGGCCACCGCAGAGTCTACTGAAGTCTGAGGAGAAACCACAATGGTGGAAGAGAATTATGACAAGGAACCTCAGTAGGTTGGTTGGTGGCAGGTGGGAACAGAGAGTAGTGTGACTCCAAATGTTGAACCACAAGTCCCAGCATCCTTCACCCTCTGATATATTTGCTTCTGGAGATCAACAGCATCTATTTGATCAAATAGAAGAGATGCTGTGGGGTCCTTGGCGCTCTCTGAGCTTGGCTGTTGTCTTGCATACATGTCACTATCAAACTAGGTAACATCAGTGCCAGGAGGGACTGGGATTTGCTCCCGTGTTAAATTAATGAGAGTATTTTGCATATAAAATGAGAACAAACCCCACTCCCTTCAAGCACTGAGGCTGTGTGCGGAGAGCGGAAGCCGGCGCTGGACTTGGCTGGACCTGAGGCATCGTGACACGAGGTGAAGCGAGGCGAGACTGGCAGAGGAGCCCAGGAGAGCCAGCAACCTGAGCACCACGAGTCAGCTGGTGTAAAGCTAGTTTGCTCACTGCGGAGCACCAGGATAGGCGCGTAAGCACCGAACAGAATGAACCAGCAATTTAGGCTGTCAGGACTGCATTCTGTGTCTAGCATGTGTAGATTTCCCTGACACTGGATGCCATACACTAAATAAATAAATAATAATGGGGAAATTAACCCATCTAGTGACAGGATGCTGGAGTCAATGGAGTCCTGTATGAAGGTGCACAGCAATCAGAAAAACCAAAAGCACCCACCCAGCCCCAAGCCCCATCCATCCTCCAAGCTTGCCTTGATGTCCCCAGTGCTCCACACCGCTCTCACGGTGTCCAAATTCTTATGGCGACTGGTCAGCACAACACACATGGTCTCGTGGCCCTTCCGGATCTGGGACAGGGCCTCCTCGTCTACGATTTCCGTTAGGCCCTGGTTCTTCACGGCCTGCAAGTGCAGAGGCAAAAGGGAAATACACCAAACTAGATGGGAGGTGATCGTGAATGCTTGCAAAGGACTTTCCACCCTAAGAGCCATAACCTAAAGATGCATCCGAGTTTAGGTTTTTCTTTGTAGACAACAGGATTGTTGCTTAGGAACAAAGCAATTACTGAGGACTGTGCAAACTGACAGAGGAAAAAAAAACATCTGTCCTGTTCCCTGAATCCCATAGAAAGATATCTCTGAGGGGGTCACAAATCAGGACAAATCAGTCAAGTACTGGTGATCAGAATAAATAAAAACACTGCCCAGAAAATATACTGTTTTTTAAAAAGACATTCCTAAGAATTGATGCTGTTCCAGATCACAAAATTGCCTTCTTCTTCCTTGGGTGTTTTCTACCCATACCTCACCCATTTTCAGAACAACAGAGTAACAAGATAACAGAGTTTGGAAGGGACCTTGGAGGTCTTCTAGTCCAACCTTCTGCTCAGGCAAAGAAACCCTAGAACGTGTCAGGCAAAGGGCTGTCCAGTCCCTTCTCAAAAACCTCCCGTGATGGAGCAGCCACCCCTTCTGTAGGGAAGGCGTTCCCCCGATTAATTGTCCTCACTATCAGGAAATTTTTCCTTATTTCTAGGTTTGATTTCTAGTTTCCATCCATTGCTTTCTAAATACTAATATTTTATTGTTACACTTATTTTACTGCTAATAGTTTACTGTTTACACCCTAAAGAATATTCGGCCTATGGTCAAATCAAAACCTGCTCCCTAACTTAGCTGCTGACCAACTATTTCTTCTCTGTTTTGGCAAGCAAGAAACATACCGGCAGGAAGTCAGAGGCCTTCAGCCCAATAGGCTCATTCCTGGCAGCTGGAATCACCAAGGGCTCCACTCGGGTGATTGGGGTTGAGGCAGCTACGGGCTGCCTCTGAACAGGGTCTGTCTGCTGCAGGGAAGGACAGGCTGGTCACCCAGGTTTCCAGGCGAAAAGAGAGAGAAAGAGGGAGGGAAGGGAGGAAAACAGAGAGAGGGGGAGAGAGGGAGGGAGAAGCAACTCACAGCTTCCATGCAGGATGCTGATGGAGGCTGCCTCCACCCCCAAATGAGCAGAATGAGGCGGCAAGGCACTTACCCCCTCCTGGCCTGGCGAGGGGGACTCGGCATCTCCTGCTTGACCAGCCCGCGAGGCTTCTTTTGCAAGTGCTGCCTCTGAAGGGAGAGGGGGAAAAGGGTTTCTTGGGAGAGGCCAAAACAACAACAACAACAACAACAAAAACCCCAATGTTGCTGGGCAGAAGGTGGGCACAAGTGCTCTGGAGGAAAGTCCCAGTGTTTGAACTGTCTTCAACTTACAAAGGCGGTGCATAAAACTTAGCTTGACAAAAGTACATAAAATCACGCACTGCCAGATAAAAGCCGGTGAGAAGTTTTCATTCAGTCCAGTTCTCAGGCATTTCTTCACAGAGTACAGGGCACCTTGTGGAATTCAGTCCCACAAAACAGGACGAGGGTCCCTGGGATGAGCGGCTTCCAAGGGAGGTGCCACTGGCTCCGGGAGCAAAATCCCAGCACAGAGACGACCAAGGGCCGCAGTCGGGGAGGCAGATGCCACCCTCTGAGTGGCTGTAGAAACCAGAGCGGAGCCGCCGGGCAGGGGTCCTGCTTGGGTGCTTCCCCGAGACCCCCGCTGCTCCCAGGCGTCTCCAAAGGCCGAGCTACAAAGGGAAGCCGCTGCCCCCCTTTGTCCTGGACAACCCTGAACTGACTCCCCTCTGGGCACCTTGGGAGCAAAGAACCAAACCGTCCACTCTACTGCATGCCCTCCCCATTATTTTCACTGACTGCGAGGACCACCAAAGGTCAAGCCCCCCCAGAGCTCCACCCAAGAGGCGTCTCGCGAAAGCCCTTTGGGGCGCTCCGAACTCACCATCTTCCGGAGGGGCAGGGAAAGGCTCGCTCTTGCTGGGGGGAGTTCGTGCTACAAAGACAAAAGCCCAACTTCAACTGAAATGTTTTCCTCTTTCAGAAGGTTACAGAAGAAACGGCATTACTCTGGGTTTCTGCAGCTTGAGTCCAGTGCAACACTCAGTGACTCTGAGGAGCTCTTCCCACTTTCAGGATGACAGGAGGGTTCCCTCAGACCCTGTACACAGGGAGCTCAGCAACAAAAGCTCCAACTCATTGCCGGCTAGTGCATTCAGGAGCAGTAAAACCCTTGCTAAGGACCTCTCTCGCCCTCAGAATAACTGCTGGGTCAGCTCTTTTGCCACAACCTGGAGACCCAAGATGGCCTCTTGGAAGCCTCTGGAGGCAGGGGTCTACAAAGCAGCCACAGAGTTTGATGGAACAGGCATTCTTAACAGCTTCATAAAGCTGAGGCTGTACACGTTGGAAAGATTTATGCACAGATTCTGCCCAACAGCAAGCCAGGGCAAGCCAAGAATGTTCATCCAACTCACTGATAGAGTTCTTTGGCTGGAATATCTCTTTGTAATCCTCCAAGTTCTGGATCTCTGCAGTGGATTCCCTTTCCTCCCTGTCATCCTCACTGCTTGGACTGCGCCTCTCGCTCTCCGAGTTGTGTTTCATTCTGAGGCGTGAGAGACAGAGACGGGGACCAGTAAGCCGAGCCTCCACCGCCCAGAAGCCTCTGCTCACCCGGCCTCCCCCAAAGCACCCCCCCACCTCTGGGGCTTGCTGCAGGAGGTTGCTGGCCTTTCATAGATGCGTCGCAGGGAGGAGCCCAGAGTTGGGGGCGGGCTCAGCGGCTTGTCATCTCTGATCAGTCCATGGAGTCCAGACCCACATTTTGTGATTTTGCTGAGGTCTACAACGTATGATGAGACGGTGCTTTGGATAAAAGAAACGCCAATCTAAAGAAAGAATCCGTATTCTTAGATTATTAGGTATTTGCAAGGACCATCTAGAAAAAGATCCTGTGCTGCGTCAGGTTGGCTGCCCTTCCTCGAAGCTCCCTGGAGGAGAACTGGGGCTTTGGGCCAGGTGTTGCCACGAGAGGGAAGGGAAGCTCCCTGGCAAGCAACAAGGTGGGCAGAGCCCTGCCTCTCCTGCCCTGGCTCCCTGGAAGCCCTTTGAGGGGGCAGCACAACAACGGGAACCAGAATCAGTCAGAAAACCTTCACTCACCAACTGATTGTTACAGATAGACAAATCGGCCACTTTGCCCCAATTCACCAAAACCACTTCAAAACATCGCTCGGGCTCCCAGCCATAGACTCGCAGGGCATCCTGGCTGCCGGCATACAAGCAGCAGCCATCAGGGTTGAAAAGCACGCACCTGCAGGGGAGGAGAGGCAACAACACGAGTGCCATTCCACCCGACGTGGCCCCCAAATTTGAAGGAAAGCCCAAAAGTAGCCCTCTGAAGCCCTGAATGGACGGAATCCCCTGAACTAACAACTCAGCGCCATTCCTGCTGACAAACACCTGTTGCCTCTTACCTAACAGGCGTGGCCTCTTCCTCAATGCAGCTCACTGTGTGGAACTTCTCCAAGTCCCAGAATCTGACTGTCCTAGATGAAAACAAAAAAGCAAAGACGCCGGAAGTCTTTCCAATCCCACCTTCTTTCGTCACTCTTTGCTTCCAGCCCAGCCAGCAGCCAGGCTCCGGCTTCCAGCTCCTTTTACGTCTCATTTCTCTATTCCTGGGATGTTAAGGCGAGCAGCCACTTGCTTTAGGAGACCACAATTCACCAGGAAAGATTTTACACACTGACAACTTAGCAGGCCAGTTAAACATCCACACCTCTGTTTATGCCAAGCGGTTATTGAACCCTGAGAGCTGTTCAGGGATTCTACATTTCCGCAGTAGGGAAGGAAGGAAGGAAAGCAGGGCAGCAAAGGAAGAAGGGCTTGGTTTCAGCACAAAGAGATCAGACCAGCTTCAGGATCAGATATAACATCTCTCAGGAGCTTCGTGGAGGCTTCAACACTATGGAAAATATTATGGGGAACTCAGAGGGCAAATCCTGACTTCCTTCTGAAGCACCAGCTTCCAGATTGGTGAAAAAAGCCTTCCCTAAAAGCAGGAACATCTTCCACGCACAATGTCAACAATTCAAAGCCTGCATGCCACACGAGGGCTTGTGACATATTCTAACGAGCCCTCGGCAAATCTTCCACTGGTTTCTTGACACCTCATGACAGCATCTCCAGCCCCAGCCAGAGCTAATTTTACCTGTCGGAGCTCCCCGAGGCCAAAAGGTACTCGTTGGGGTGGAATTCAATGACGTTGACAGGCCCGGTGTGTCCTGTGAACTCAAACATGATCTTCCCAGCAGCCAGGTCCCACAACTAGGCAGGAAAGAACCACAAAAGCTTTTCTTTCCAAAGTGCTAACAAATTTCACACCCATCAGCCAAGCTGCTCAACGGCCCAGGCTGCCATCGAAGGGAGGGGAAGAAGAAGAGGGCCAGGGGGCATGTCTACCTTCACTGTGTGGTCATCAGAGGAAGATGCCAGCCACTTCCCATCCGGACTGAAGCGGAGACACCGAACCGCTCCTGTGTGGCCCTGAAAAGTGAAAACGGGTTTGCATCCTGCCTTTCCTTCAAGAGTCCAAGGCAACGTTCGGAATACTCACTTCTCCCATCTTTAGACAACTGCAGCCCAACGAGAGAGGTCGGGCTGGGAGAGAAGGTCCTGCCCAAAGTCATCCCCTAGGGTGACACACCCCAGAGAAATTCCCAGTATGTGTGTGTCCACTGAGGCAGAAAGGAGACAGAAGGAGGGGAGGGGCCACGGGAGTCCCTTGACAACACTCAAGTGTGTAAACATCCCAGGGCAAGGTCTGCAAAATGACTACTTCCATTGCCCAATTCTGTCTTCTTCCCCGGCCTCTGAATTTCACAGTAGGCTGGAGGGGAAGCTGGGGGGGGGGGCTGTGGTAGAGTTTTGAGGCAACTAGGAATTTCTGGTCACCAGGACAACCACTGGCTTGTCCCAGACCATCGTGGCTACAACTCATGTGGGCGGCCATACTTTAGATCTGTGCTTTGCTGTAGAACAGTTGCTACATGATCCGGCAAAAGATGTAACATCTGTCTTTTGTTGTGCTATCAATTTAGCATTAAATCTGAACAGTGTAAATTAATACAGAAAGAGAATATTAGCACATTAAGTGACTCTCACTAAAACCTATTTGAAAGCCATATATACTGTCCTGCTCCTGATTTATTCTGAACTAATATCCCAAAGGTGCTTTTCAAAAGTTAACTAGACTTTCTTGGGGGTTTGTTTGTTTTCCTTGAAAACATTTTGCTTGTCATCCAAGAAGACCCTTCAGTTCTAACTGAATGGTGGGGAATGGAAGGGTTTATATTCTTTGTAGTCAATCTGGTCTAGTTTGGCTGTTAGGTTTCTGAGAGTTGTTGAGGCCATTTCGGGGTATATCTGAATACTGATCATTCCAGATTCATAAAGCTTTTCAAATTGTCCCAGTAAATGTTATGCATTGCACAAATGGGTTTCACGATACTAGGTGAAATAGAGCAAATTTTTCTTCTTACCTTGTACCTGAAGACACAACTTTTTTTTCTTACATCCCAAAGCTGCATGAAAGAAAAAATACCATCTTTTAAAAAACAAAACATTTAACTGTCCTAATCAATCAAGGTTTGCCTTAACATTAAGAAGTCCCAATTTCTGACCTGGGACAGAGCAACTAACTATTTCAGAGCATGGAGGTCACAGAATTTGAAAGGGAAGCATCTCTTCCTTTTTTATGGAACTTTATGCATTCCTCTCCTCCTCCTCCTCTTCCTCCTCCTGACTCTTGATAACAGTGCACAGAATCTGGCTGTGGCTTCTACAAATGGGTGGCTATCAGAACAATGTTCATGTCTTCCAGATCGCTGGGCACTTTTGGAAAGAAGAAATCTGCCAAGTAGCAAAACTCTTCCCCATCTTCGTTTCATGAAGAAATAAAGACTACAACAGGGCGACCAAGAAACTGACTGAAATTCAGAAGTGGCAAAAGGACACACAGAAAACAAGAACCGCAAGCAGCTACTTGGGTATACTAACCATTAATTGGTTTCATCTGCTTCTGCCCGCCACAACATTCATCATCATTCTGCAAGACTGCACAGAGAGTGACAGATGTATGGGCCTTACCTTGATGTTGGTGTCCATGGACCCCGAAGCTACGAAGCCTCCGTACGGATGGAAATCAAGGCTGCAAATATTGGCTTTATGGCCCATTAGTGTACGGAGGACTGAAGAGGAAATTCAGGGAAAGAAAATTATTTAAAAAGACGTTATTCTGCCAGTGATAAATGCATGTAAGATAGCGTGGCTGATATAATTTTGTGTTTCATTTAGTTAAGTTTTATTTTTAAAATAATGTATTGTAAATTTAAATCAAAATTCAGTTTCTTAAAGGGGAATCTGTATGTCAGATCAAGATCATTTTTCTATAACAGAAGAAATCAGTGGGGAAGGATATTAAACCTTTATAAACTTGTTAGAGGAGGCCACATATTGTGGGCAAAACTGAACTGAATGCCACACAAACAGGACTTACTTCATTTAATAGATTAGTGATAAAAACTTTCAGCTCCAACTCCTTAGTCAACCGACTAATCAAGCCTAGCAGGCAACAGTCAAGTACAGTGGGAAAAATAAATCAGTTGCAGAAGCCGTTCTCTTCCACGTGGCTCCAGAGTCTGGTTCCTCCCATTAGCGTGGAGGTAAATCATAAGGAAAGCAAACCCACTTCAGCTCTTGGTTGCAGCGACTGACTTTCCAGAGGCTTGTAAGCAGTGCCAGCTTTTTCACTCAACAAGAGCAATACTTCTGCCTAGACATCATTTGCCTGACCCCAGAAAAAGACAGGGGGGCAAGAAACTGCACGACCTGCAGGAGAGCCAGTCTGGTGGGCAAAATTGTCCCTGACTCCACGCCCCCTTTTAAGTGCTGAATGATGTGTCTCTACTGTAAATATTTATCAAATGAGATCCCAATCTATGTACTATGTAACTTTTCTCTATTGCTTGAAGGAAAACCAGTTCTGCCAATAATGGCACTTTTAATTAAGATCTAATTCTAAATAAGATCACCAATCAGTTTCCATAAATATCTCCGTGAAATGGAAAACCTAAGGATCATGTGCATTTTTCTCACATTATGATTTCTTAAGGCAAAGCTACTGTGTGGCCAGAAAGGAAATCCAGTTCTCATACAGAACAGATCAAGATCAACTACGGACTTTTGTCTGACAAAGACTAAAGAGGTAAAGAGCCCTTCTAACCCTCAGAGCAAAACTTAGTTCTCCGGCATTCTTTCTACAGGCCAGTTGGACAAGGGAAGGTGCCGGAATGTCTTTCAAACCTACTTTTGGCAGCTTCCAAGTCCCAGATCCGAATGGAGCCTGACTGAGATCCTGCAACAATGAGCTCTTCATTTGTATTAATTTTCACACTCTCCACTGGCGTTGTGTGGCCAGTTAAACTCTGATCAAGATGAAAAAAAAAAACAAGAGTCAGCCAACTGAAGGGAGGGGTACCGGCCACAATTACGTTGGTCATGAAACAAGGATCTGAGCAGTAGCAGCACATAAAGAAGATTTTTGTGATAGGCTTTGGGGAGTAGGGAGGTTTTTCAGTGGCCTCCAGACCAACCCCAGAAACCTTGGGGATTTGTGCTGTAAAAGTGAGATTGGGAACTCACCACCCTAGCCTCAATCTGAAGCTAAAATATCGGCAAGCCAAACTCATCCTGCATTGACTGCGTTCAGATTCCCAGGTATAGAGAAGGCTTACAAGCTGCTTAACAACTTCCTTCTGTTTGTGATGCAATATAACTTTCTTAGATGAAACTTCAACTGGTTTGCAGGGTTTAGAGTTATGGTTTGCCAAGAAAGCCACTGTGGCTGGGTGATTGTAATCACAGCCTTTATAGTATTAAAATTAAAAACTGTCAGTAATTTTCCTTAAGTAAATACCGGACTGAAAAATACCATTAGCCGGAAATGTTCTGCCAGCATTTAACGCTACCCAAATATATTTTTTACGTTTGTGTAGAAGTATGTTGCTTGGTTTGCATTTACGGCATGTTAACCTTGGAAAAGCCAAGAAGGCCTGTGCCTAAAGGAACAAGTGCTGTTATGAACAAGAAGCACACGCATTTTACCCAGCCAAACACATGTAAACACGGAGCATCAATTAATACCCAAGAAAAGGCAGCACCTCCTTCTTGGATTTACTACCGAACTCTCCCACCTTGGGTGGCATTCCAAGGTTCCCAAGAGAACCTGAGACTGATCAGATGCAGAACTGCTTAGTTTCAACATGGCTTCTGCCCAAAATGGAGTCAGGCTTTAAATTTGTGCAGGACACGGGCCAAGGCAGGGAAGCCGGTATCCCTGGCATGGGGATCGCTTAGGTCAATATCTCCCCCAGGCTGCTTTCCTTTGGATACCACAGAGATGAAGAAAAGGGGGATCAGGCTGTTAAAGACAAATAGAAAACTTCTTTTCCCTGGCTCATCTCTGCTATTATCATAAAGTAGTTAACCAAATCTTACCATAATGCAGTTGGGCTTGTTAACTGACCAAATATTAACTCGACAATCATCTCCACCAGTTGCCAGGAGCCGGCCTGAGCTTTTGCCCAAAACGAGGGAAGAAACATTGCTGCTGTGGGCAATGATCTCCTCTACATAAAAAAGCAAGCGAAAATTATTAGCTTATTTCATTAGTTCATATCTCTCCCCGACCCTCACACATAAAGGAGGCAGTTAGTGATCATGTTTACTTAAGATTAGTTTACCTGCAGACTTTATACGGGTTTATAGTTGAACAAAATATTGCAGCACATTTCCTTGAGATGAACTCTCTCTGCCCGGCCGCCAGCCAGCCTCCCCCTCAGCTCCAGGCAGGGAACGAGCCACTCCGGCCTCCCTCTCCCCTCGCCCGGCTGTCTCCCGGAAGGAGGCGACCCCGCCAGGCGAAGGGGGGAAGCGGCCACGGGAACGGGCGGCAGAGACAAGCCGCCCCCGCGCAAGAGGCAGCTCTACTCACGCAGCTTCCAGGCCGTCTTGGTGGCCACGGCCGCCGCCATTGCTGCTGCCCCGTCCCGACCGCGGCCTTCTCCGGCGGTGCGGGGGCCGAGCCCCCCAGGTCCCCGGCTCCGGCTTCCGAGGGAGCTGCGGCAGCTTCGCTAGCGGGGAAACATCCGCGGCGGCGCCTCGGCCTCCCTTCCGGCGCGCGGGGGCCGCTCTGCTAGGAGGAGGAGGAGGAGGAGGAGGCGGCGGCGATCAGCTGGGAGGGCAGCCCGGCAACCCCAGCTCAGCCTCGGGGCCGCCGCTCGAAGCCCCGCCGAGGAAAGGCCCCGGCGCCTCTCAGGACGATCCTTCCCGGGGGGCGGGCAGCACCGGCCGCCGCCTTCCTTCCGTGGCCTCGACTCCTGCTGGCGCGGCAATAGCGGTGGGCCGAGCGCGGGAGAGCCGCGGCTGAAGACCCACCTGGCGGAGTCCAGGCGCTTCGGCGGGGAACGGCTCCAGGCGCCCTCTGCCCATCCCGCGCCCCGATTGGCCGCTGCCTGGCAACCGGCGCCCCGGCAACGGACCGCGCCCGAGTGCCCCCTCCCCGGCGGGGCTACCTGGCCGTCTCTTTGGCTTGTCGGCTCGCCAATCGATGCGAGGGCCGCCTTTCCCGGAGACGTCGACCAATCGCTACGAGATTGAAGAGCGCGAGAAGGGCCGGGACTCCGCAGACTTAAGAAAACAGAGTCGCCAAGGCGCAGCGTTGCTTTGGGCGAAGGGCGGGGCTGCAGACGAAAGAGCCTCGAGTGGGTGGGGCTTGAGCGAAAGCCTCCAGTGATGGAGTTTCTGCAGGCGAGGCGTCCCCCTGGCTGATGGCTCTCGCCGTTAGCAAATTCCTCTTTAGCTCCAGGTTGCTTCTCTCCTTGTTTAGTTCGAGGCATCTCTCGGCCAGCCGGCGCCCAGCTGTTTTCAAACCTCGCACCAGCCCGCGAGGGCTATTCAATGGGGCGAATGACGTAAAGGGCTCCCGAAAGCTTCGTGCGTTTACCCGGAAGCTAGCAATCCAATCGGACTGAGCTTTTCTGTCATAGCGCTTGTCTCTAGCGCCCGTGGGGGAGGGGCCTCCTGCGCGGGAGCCGCAGAGCGCAGCCAATGGTTGCTCAGCGGGGAATCCCGGCAGGCCTTGCGGCGTGATCTGGAAGTGGGCTTTCCGGCCGCGCCATGTCGGTGGTTTTCGTCCCCGAGCGCCTGCGCGGCAAAGCCGAGGTGAACCCAGAGACGCTGCGACGGGTGAGCGGCGGGGGCCCTCCGGGGGGGGGCGGTCTGGCGGGCGGAGAAAGGGCGGATCCCGCCAATGGCGAGCCCGGCTTGAGCCCCGCCACGGGCCCTGCCAGACGAGCGGCGGCAGGCGAGCGACGGGGCGGACGCGAAGGCCGGGGGCGGCCGTGCTGGAGGGAACGGGCTAGCCGTCTCCTGGCCTCCGCTAGTTAGGGAGCCTGGACGAAGGTGCCGCGTTTGTGGGTAACGTTCCCTACTGTGACTTTCAGCTGCTGGAAGAAAACGACCAGCTGATCCGCTGCATTGTGGAGTATCAGAACAAGGGAAGAGCCGCGGAGTGTGTGCAGTGAGTGGCGCTTTCGTGCTGGCCGAAGGAGCCGTTGCTAGACGTGCATTTAAACCCCATCCCTGCCTCGGGCTGGAGCTCAGCTCATCCTGACGGATGAGCTAGATGGAGCCCCATCCTTTCGGGTGAAGAAAAGGTCTGGGTGCCGTCCTCCCCGGAAGCCTGCTTTTGCTCATTGAAATCTGCTTTGCGTGAAAGGTTTGATAAGCTCAAAGGTGGGGCTGCTGCGTTGTTTTCTTTTGGGGAGAGGGACTCTCGGTCTTACTGTGAAGACCAGAATCCGAATGGGATGCTGGGAAATGACAGTTATATCCCCAAATCATTAATTTATGGGCCATTGTGAGATTTTAAGCATTGTCAACGAGGGTTTTTAATATCTTCGTATATGGTGGACTGTGTAGATGGCACTCGGTTCTATCTTTTAATCTACTCACCCCAGTAAAGCTGTGGAGCTCTTAGCTGGATGAGAATAAACAAACTGGAATTTAATTGGACAACATGCAGTTAGTAAAAGATTTTCAAGTGGAGGTTAGTAATTAAGTCTAGACTGGCTTACATTGTCCTAGAATTGGAAAACCAAAGTAGGAGGTGATTAGATGTATGAATAAGTAGCTTAGCGTAATACATCCCTACAGGGTGGAGCTCGCTTTAGTGAGAAGACCCCAGAAGTCTTTGGCAACTATTGAGAAATCAGAACAGCAAATTCTGAAAATTCAATTGCTGCTTTGTTGTAATCAATTTTCACCATTTCATTCTTTGTTTTTCTTCCTACAGGCACCAGCACACATTGCACAGAAATCTTATTTATTTGGCTACTATTGCTGATGCATCTCCTTCCCCAAATGTAGAGAAGACGACCACAGAGTGAAATCTTTCCCGGCGCATCTGAATTTACAGAATGAATCAGCGGATGAAGAGACGACCAACTACATTTGAAGAATCTCTAACTGAAAACTACAGAACTCTGCTTCCTCTAAAAGAGGATGTGCCTTTGCATGATCAGTAAATACTGTTTTATTTCTCTCCTTATGCAGAGAAAATGCCACTGAAGTCAGTTACAGTAACATTTCATTAAGGGAAATCTTGGGGGGTCATAGTTTTCACAAGCAGATTTTCCCCCCAGATTTCTTCATTTTCTCTTATGCTAAGAATGCTAAGCTTTGATTATAGAGTATAATTTATTAAAAAAAAAACGAATTGTCCTAAGTCCTTATGTATTTGGCAGTCGAAAAATGTAAATGAGTTTTCAAGTGAAACTGGGATTGATGCTACGGCATCAGCAGAGGAACTAGCTGTGCCGGTGAGGCGCTCGCTGAGGGAGCGGCTGCCAGTAACGGAGCCAGGGAAACGGGCCAGGTTGGGGGGGAGCTGCCAGTGCCGCTGCCACGAGGTGAAGCCGGTGGGGGAAGGGGGATCGGATCCACGCACCGCAGCCTCTCATGCTGCCCCATGGCACAATGCATCCCCCATGATGCAGGCGTGCTGAAATCCTGTACCATTCTGGACAAATGGTCCAATATCTTCTTAAAACCCTCTAGTGTTGGAACTACCACAACTTCTGAAGGCAAGCCGTTCCACTGGTTAATTGTTCTGTCAGGAAATTTCTCCTTAGTTCTAGGAGTTCTTAGTTCTCCTTTTGGTCTTCTTCTGGCTAATGTTGAAGTAGAACTTAAATGCAAGTGAGGTTGCCCTGTAGGTATAGTTTGAAATTCACAAATGTATTAAAATGTATTAAATTATTGTAAAATTATAAAGGTATTAAAAATTCCAAAATCTTTAAGTATTTCAATTAAATAAACTATTATTTAGAGCAAATTCTTGAATTTGAGTTACCACATTGATGAGAAAAGTCAATTAAATCTGAATTTTTAGTGCATGATAGTACTGCAGTGCCTGAACATCCATTTTACAGAAGTTGTGACATGCTGTCTTTGGTAATTTGACAGCTTTTTAAAACATATTTTGGTATATTCAGATGAAACTTATGCTGCATATTCATATGCTCTAATAAATGGATTGTATGTACACGTGGATATATATAAGTGAATATATGTGGCAGGACCCACAGCCTAAAAAAGGGCAGTGCAAGGAGAAAAAAATTTATTTTATTAATTGAATGCAAACCTATTGATCAAAGTGTATTACCTGTAAAATAAGGCACTCCCTTTATTAAATTAGCATATTCCCATCTGCATTAGCACCCATTCTTTCTCACACATAGAAAACAAATATGCACACAACACTTCCTCTTTCCAGTAGAAACTGCCAGAAAGAGGGCAGAAATAGAATGGAGATGGTGCAAGGCAAAATGACAGCTCCAGTGGGTAGAGAACTAAAAAGAACAGAAGGAAGAAAATTCGATTGAAGGAAAGCAAGGTAGTGGTAAGGAAGATAAGAGAAAGAGGCAAATAACAAATTCAAGCTAATTTTCAAGGACAGTTGCATTTTTCAGCAATGATTTTTGTATTTGCTTGTTTCCAATACTCATAAGACAGATATTCCTCCCCCCCCCCCAACTTTTTCTACTGAAGGAGAGACCTCTGTTAAGCAATGTTCTAGCAAACTAGAAACTGCAGTTTGCTGACAGAACCCCTGGCAAGCCCTGTGCTATGAAGCCTTCACTAACTAATAGAAAATTGTGAGTGGCATCCCACAATGCCTACAGTTGCTAAATGGACTTCCAGTGCCCCCCACTGTGCTAGATGAGTTCAGCAGGACTGCAGAGCCATCTGTATATCCACAGATAAACTGCATAACAGCGTGTCTTCTTCAGACTCAAAGGACTACAGTATATATGTAGAAGGATTATCTTCCTGCTCTGGATATGTGGCTCAGAGAAGCACTAACGGAAAAGGCCCGGGCCTGTGCTGCTTGTGGTGGGGGTTATATAGGGTGGGACACCTCACCTGCAGACAAGGCCTGAACACCATGTAGGCATAGAACTCACTTGGTAATTGTCAGAGAATAATGAAGATGGGCTTTAAAGGACATGCCATTTGTGTCACTGCTTCTCTAGAGTGCAGTAACGTCAACAGAAGCACAGCCAGTAGAGACCTTGTGTGCCACAGAGAGTGGAACTGCCTGGAATGTGATAGGGGAATCCTGAATGGGTCCCTGAAGGCCTGAAAGATCCTTTCCAAACAACCGCCTACAAGGAAGCTAACTTTGCAGGAGGAAGTTTATGTGCTCCTAAGAGATTCAACAGGTGGGCAGAGCAGCCCTTTCAGGACCAAGCAGAAGACCCCGGAGTGCAGCTGGGTTCGCTGGCTGAGAAAGGTGGGATTTGCGGAGTTGCATCATTTTGGATATCAGGCTTTTCTTAATCAGTTATGGTCTTCAGATGTATCAAGTGCAGTATCTGGGCTAGCAGAGCGAATTGAGGCTAGACACAGAAGACCCCTTGGAAGGTCTGATTTTCAGGGACTATTAAGATACTGTGATCCAGGTAGCAGGTAGCTTATAGTGGAAAGAGATCTACTGAAGGTTCTGATTCATGGGACGGAGCAGGCAGGTATCTGGGAGGCAGCCCCCTGCTCCTGCCTTGGGGCAGTATTATCAATTGTACTGTAGAATCAGTAGAGTAGGAGCTACCTCCCAACTTCCAATAAGAGGTAGTCTCTTACTCCCACATTGGGCACCCCAAAATTGTTCCTGTCTGTTGGAATAAGCCCAGCTAACGATTCTCTCCAGCCACAGCAGGAGAATAACTTTCAACATAATTGTACTCATTTTTTGGATATATCTTATTTTAACATGATATAACCTATTATTAAAGATATATCTTTAATAAAGCAAATAGGGTTGTTTTTACTTACAGGTGCTTCAACATTAAAAACAAAAGGTACAGTTCCAGTTCCAAAGCATTAGTTATTCACATAAGTACTGCATTAAAAGATAATCTGACTAAGCACCATGCCCCTTGCACGTGGCTGGGTGAAACCTTGCTTGCCAATACTTGGGGAAATTATAGGTGTTCAGAATAACTGGAAGCAGTGGAGGATGCAGCACCTACTAGACAAAAAATGATTCACCTGCATTTCCACTATTTAACTTCAATTTTAGAAAATTGCCAATGTTTGCATTTGTCACTCAACTGCAGCAGCAGCAGCAGCAGCAGCTTAAATGCTCTATAGCAAATCTCAACACAACATATATCTGTACTTGAAAGCCTTGTGGCATACAACTGCAATCAATTTTAAGGTCCAATACAAGTTTTCAATTGTATACTTGAGACTCAAAATCACTTAAATTCACCAACATTTTAGCAGAAAGTACAGAACATTAACAATGTACAGACAGAAGCCACACTGATTGTGCAAAGCACATGACTGTAAAGTTATGCACAGCAAACAGTTCTGTAAACATGGTAAGGATGGGATTTCAGGAAACAAGATGACAATATCATAAATACAGGCAACATTGGCATCCTTAACCAGCACAAAAAGTAACATTTTAGGCCTGCCAAGATGGCCAAACGGCGCACAAGCAGAAGGTGGATGGGCTTTTATGCTATCCACCCCAACATTTAGTGTTTTTATATATATATATATATATATATATATATATATATATATATATATATATATATATATATATATGTATAGTATCTTTAATACACACATGTAAGTTTGTAGAAAATGGGAACTTAAATGTGCTTTTATCTTCATCAAAAACTATGTGTATTTATAACTAATAACCCATTTACTTGTCAATGTATTAGAATGATATGAATTAAGAAAATATAAAAATAATATTAATACTGTCAAAAACCTTTATACCAGAAAATATTGTGGTTTATAATTACTCTTTCAAAGATGAAATATGAAAATTTAAATAGGTTTTATAAAGACTTCTCTCACTTCAATTAATATACAATGGGATCACTATACATATTTACCTTTTTCCCATTTGAAGCACCAATCATTCCCCAGATCCACTTTGGTTGGAAGATATTTCTAATTCCACAGGTTCATTTATTTAATGGCACATATTGACTGAACGTAGTTTATTTTAATTCTTAGCACTACAAAAAAATAGCGTTTTAAGTTCTCTCTATTCTGAGCCAGCTCATGTTTTTACACACTAAGTCTAGCACTGAAATAAGACTTATATTTGCAAGTAGTCTTAACTATTCTTTCATATATTTAAAGAGCACTGTATGGATAATGCCTTTGGCCAAATGTAAAAGTATCAAATGTAGTGTCATAACTCCACCGAAAGGACTTTATGGAGGTGGAGGGTGTTCACTGATTGGCCAGATCACTTCACAGACCTTGAGCAGTTTCCAGCTGTTTTGCACAAACTAAATAACTGGAAAGAATTAGATTTTCAGTTGTTGTTTGCCCTACTCCTGTTTCAAAGAGTTTGTGCGGCATATTGACAACTGCTGCATTAAAAAAGCTACCACAGCTTGTGAAAATCAGAGTGAAGACTTTATAATTTTGTCAATTAGAAATCTGAAGAAAATGAGCATTGAGCAAAACTGCTAGATTGGCTTAAAAATACTCAAATCTGTTTTAGCAAGAAATGGTAACTATAAATCTATATGAAAAAATAGCTATAAAATACAGTGTTTCTGTGGTAAGTAAGAGTGTCACCATTTGTTACCGGGGAGTCCATATGCTTTGAAAGGGTCACAGTTTAGAGTTGTGTAGACACTGTGTGCCAAGTGCTGCAAGGAATGAGAGACTCACTACCAAAGCTGTCACCCCACATCACATCCAGCAGACAGAAACAAAGCAAGCCTGGATCATACCAAAGACTTTGGTCCTCAGCTGCTTCTCTGGCCGGGAGGAAACGGAGGCGCGTCAGTACTGCGGTAGGTAGGACGGCCGACGCTCATGCTTGCCCGGGAAAGACTTAAAGCCCTTGTGCCCCTGCTTGTGCTGAGACGGGGGCAATGGAGGCGACTGCTGAGGCTGCTGGCTGTAGGCAAACGGGGAGGCCATCCCTGCGGGCGGAGTGCAGTCGTTGGCGGCTGACCAAACGGGAGATGGTAGGATCTGCATGGGGTCGTTCCAGTGGCTGGCAGGGCTGCTTAGCTGATAGAAAGACATATTCTGGCCTGGCTGCGAATGTTGCCAAGGAGCCTTTGGGGGCCACGTTTTAGTTTTATTGTCCTGCAAGAGCAACACGGACATCTGAGCGTCAAACTCTGTCCCCAAGCCAGGCATAAAAGACAATCAGACAGAGAAAGAACCTCATGCTCTCCCCCAACCTCCCTCCGGCCCTTTGCCTTTACATAGGATCTTAAATCAGCTCTTGACATAGCCTTCCACATTATTGTTAATACAACTAACTGCTTAATGGCTCCTTCAATCATTTTTGTACTTGCCTGGTTATGATCATCCACGGTGGAAAGGAGTGGTGGTGAAGGAAGTGTGCTTGTGTCTTGTTCCCCGCTGCTGTGTTTTCTGAAAAAACAATAAAAATGTTGATTTATTTATTTAGTAAATTTGTTTGCAGCTTTGAAGCAATTTATAAGCAATAAATGATTTATATATATTCATTTCAATGAAGGAAAATGTCGTGATAGTTTAATAGGAAAATACTGTTTAATCAATGCAATCCTGTATTCAGTAATTCTATAGTCAAACTGAGAGAAGGCATGGCGGCACCCCCCCCCCCAAATATGCTAGACCAAGGGATCCCCTCTAACATTAACCGATTCCAACCCACCTATCTACACACAATGCTCTGAGAATTGCGCTTCAGCATTCTATCAATTAGCACCCTAGTATTCTTCTGGAATAACTGTGGGAAGTTGTAATTGCTCCCCCTATCATCTCTAAACTGGGTTCAATCTCGTCGGATCCAGCCAGGAATTCATCTAGTTCAAGCATGTTTAACAATGACCTACTGGATATCCAAGCAAAGATTCAACATGCCATGCAAGCCCAGATCTTTGGATTACCCTTGAGATACATTGATGCATCCTGAAATTGTGTGAACACATTTACTGGCTCTGACACAAGACTGGACCCTTACCCAATTCACACCAGCTCCATTCTTTTGTTACCTTGACAGGTGAGACATTCCCACACAGACACTCTTCGTAATTACTTTACAGCAATTATCCTGACTCCACAAAAACAGAGGCACTACAACCAGTCCATGTCTGCATCTTCAACCTATTCAAATTCTACCACTCAGCGCTCAGCCCTCAACCCCCCCCCCCAAATTTACTATGTAAATCTATATAATAAGTTGAGGAATCAGTTCAGGTGTGGTAAGAAAGGAGAGAGATCTGAATTTCAAAACGGAGCTTCTTTTGTGATTCCTGCTAAGACAAGGGAAAAAATTAAAGTCAAAGGTTCCTTGTTTGACGTACCTTCTTTGTTTGACAGCAGCCACGATGTCAGGCCCTGAGAACATGGAAAACAAACTGTCTCCATTGGCAGAGGAGGCCTCATCACTGGAACTGGCAGAGTCCCCCTGAGTCCCTGACCAGCTATTGGTCATCTCCCTACAAAGAAGCAGCAAGGCAGGATTGAGAGGGGCTCCCCAAGGAGCTGGGGAAAGTGGGGTTCAGAGTTAATCTTGATAGGGCAAGATCTCAAGGAACAATCTCCAATTCACTAAGCTACAAGGTAAAATATTTACCTTGTAGCTTAAGTTCCTGTGTTTGGAATTATTCTTAGCTAAATATTCCTCTTAAAAGGAAAAATAGAGGCATTGCTTATTCACGTGTACCATTAAGAGAAGTATGGCATAAGCATTTAATCTATAAAATAAAATGTACTGGATCAACAAAACAGCCTCAACAATCAATTAAAGCCAATTTACTACATTTCTATTAATAGTTTGCACAGTGCAGTATACAAAGAAGAGCTGCCAAGGGCTCCTTACCCATCTGTGAAATACTCTGGGAAGGGCCAGGTCCTGTGCAGGTCATCAGGATGAGACCAGTTGCTACGTGTGTTGCTGGGGCGACGAAAGTGTTGCGCCTGCCTTTTCTGTTGCATGGCCTGGCTGACCCCAGCCACATAGCGGGCAAACTCTGGATCTGAGCCAACTGGGCAGAAGAAAAGAAATCTCTATCAATCAGCTATTTCTTCCCCAATTATCCCTTATTTAATTCTTTATGCTTAGCAAGCTACCCCTCGGTTGTGCCTGAATCCATGGGCATGCCTAAGAAACCCGTTAGTAGTCCAGAATGTTTGTTGAATGCTGAATATTCAGCACCACACAGAAAAGTGCTTTCCTGGCAAATTGTCTTTGTGTAATGCAAGCCATGAGCAAAGCAGCAGCACAGGCAATCGCCCATGTGATGGATGCGGTGACCGCCTGATGCTCATGGACCACTGAAGGAAACTTACTTTGCTGATCGAAAAAGGCGTACAAATAAAACAATCATTATAAAAAGTGGCTGTTAGTTGCTTATAGTAACAGTTATGTTATCAAAAGCAGAAACACAAATTAGCTCACCAAGCTGAAAAACAATAACAAAATAAAGCAATTTAGGCCAAAGGAGGAGAGAAAATTTCAGATTGAACTCAAAACCATGCTGCCCCTACAGGAGGCGGCTGCTAGCTCAAGAGAATGCCCTGGTGCTCAAAAACATCTGGAGACATTCAAGGTGCTGTAAAATAACGTGTTGATTAGTTGAGCTCACCTGCAGGGTCAAAAGGTACAAATTCTCCCAGCACCCCAAAGATCCCATCGCTTTGGTCACGATTTGGCCAGGTGTTATTTCTCGGCCCTTGAGATTTTTGCCCCAGCATCTCCGACATCATGTTATCCATGTAGCTGTTCACCAGGCCCAGGCTGTATAAATCAGAGCTCAGATCGGAGAAGGCATGGGTGCCCCACTGAGGCAGCGAGGACAGCCCTGGCCCAACAGTCTGGCCTGGCGGCTGGTTGGGACCCCCGGGCCACTTACTGGGTGGGCGCTGCTGCGACCCGATGGGCTGGCGCAAGGGCTGATAGTGCTGCTGCTGCTGCTGCTGTTGGGGTTTCTGGGGATGGGGCTGCTGGGGCAGCCCCGGCTGAAGATGGTGCAGTGGGGTGTGAGATGACGACTGTAGGGATGGCAGCTGCACAGCAGCCGCTTTCTGTTCTGCTGCTGCAGAAGAGGAGGCAACCGAGGTTCTTCTCCTCGTTAGGGGAGAAGTCTGTTGGGACTTGCCCATGTTGAAACCCGAAAGGAAATCGATGACCTCCTGCATTTCCTGGTCAGTTGGTAAATTCATGCCCTTGGCATCCTTACCATCTTCTACAATGCCTCCCTCTTGCCTTTCAAGGAGGCCGTTGACTCCATGATGGTTTGAGCTCTGCATCAGCTGGGCGGGCTCAAGGACCCTCGGAAAGTTGCCAAGGTTCAAAATACTTTGCAGCCGAGCATCCGCATTACTTGGTAGTTTTGCTTTGTCCTCTGAGTTGTTAGTTATAAAATGGGTTTTAGAAGGTATATTAGGAATGGAGTAATTTCCACTGTTGTTTGAACTTGTACAAGAAGTTTTTTTGGTAAATCGTGATGTCAACTTTGAGAAAGTCTTCTGCAAGCCACCCGTTGCTTTGCTGCCGTTTCCAGATGGTAAGTCAGTGTGACTTCCGAAGTCAGAGCTGTCGCGTTGGAGTTGGATCTGAATGTAGGGCAACACTTGCTCCCTGGGAAACAAAAATGACCTTCTAGTTCAGGTTAAAAAATTACTTAGAAAAATATATAAACATGCGATTCAGGAATGAACAAAACATAAACAAACAGTCCACCTGCCTTTATTACTGAAACCAGATGTGTCTGTGTCTCCTCTCTGTAATGTGCCCCCCTGGGTTTTGGATGTGCCATTAGCCAAGACTCCAGGGCAGGTATGGAAGCCGGTGATTGTTTCCAAAGGCCTTCAGGTGTGCTGTCCCAGACATAGCTGGATGGGAGACTTACTAGGTGAGGTTGAGCCATACAGATCAGTTAGGATTTCTATTTGTTTACCTCTCTCCTTGCAGTAGAGCTGCAACTGCCTGAGATCCACAACTCCATGGCTAGGTGGGCAGTGGAGCCCCCGAGGCTTATGGTCCTGGGGAACTATGAGCTGCCTTCTTTGAACCTAGTACCAAGGCTGGTTCAGGAGTTCCTGGACACCAGGGACAAGTTACAGCTTATGCAGAGCCAACCGACAGGAGAGGTCACATATCAGATCTAGTCTCTCTCTCTCAGGGAGTGGTGTTCTGATCTGAGTTTGGGGGGATCAGTCCCTTCCTATGGAGAGATCACATCCTCTTGCCTCTGGATTTCTCTGTGTCCACTCCCACCCACTCCATTTCAAAGCAACATGTTAAAGCAGATTTCTCAGAGGCATATAAATTGAAATAGGAAGCTAAGATGTGTATGCAAAAAAACCCAAAACCCACCAAGGTTTTCCTACCATGTCAAATGCTGCTGCCCAGAAATTCTGATTCCTAGTATAAGTGGCTTGAACAACTACGAGATGAAGCTTCTCACAGTCATTTTCACCTGAGTGAGGAGTGTTATGCAATGCTAATTCTGTACCAATTGTGGCCACAGTCAGGCCTACCAACCTTCCTTCTTTCCAGCGATTTAGGTCAAACACGGCAGTATAAAGTACATCTACCAGTCCTAACATTTTCTCTGGATCCAGACTCCTCTGCAGCAGAGACATTGTGGCTGGGTCTTCTTTCAGGCACCTGATGCAGATGGAGAATCAGATATTTCCAGATTACTAATGTAATTAATGATCAGATTACTAATGTTCTGATCATGACACGGGACAATCTTTTGACAAAGGTTAGGCAGGCTCTTCGTGTGAAGTGAAGCTTCCAGAGATCATTCAAAACTGATTACCACTGTAATTATCAGCTGCGTGACTTAAACTATTTGCTTCCTTCAATTTACTGTATTAGGATAGTTTTTATGATACTGTAAACCACAGTGAGATTTTTAATAAGATTTCTTAACTTTTTCCACACACAGAGGCACGCACAATGCTGTTTTGGGTTTCCTTAAGTAGCAAATTCTAATTACCAAGTTGATGGGACTTGAACCACAATTCTGGAACCTTCTAAGCTGATTTGTGGTGCATAAGCTTCTTTGTTTTCATTCTGTGCTGTGTCTACAACCACCTAATTGCAAAGAAAAATAAGTAAGCAACTGCCACTTTAAAAGTACTAGAATGACCCTCTTCAAACTTAACAACAAATCATTTTATAACAGCCACCAGGGCCCCTGGGGAGCTAAACTCTAATCGAAAACTTTTAATAAAGAGATATGTGTGAATGGTATTTACAGTTGTGAGGAGCTGCTGAAATAATCGTGAAATGTAAGAGTAAGAAAGTTCAGGATGTATTTAAAGAGGCAAGCATTTCACTAAGCATTTTTCATCAGCTAATAATGTAATCTTCCTTTGTGTGCTTTTTTGGAAAGGTATAAACATTTGAACTCAAGGGATCCATTTTAATCTTGGTTACTCCTGTAAACTGCTAGACAAGATTGGAAAAAACGAATCCTGACCACCCTCTGGTCACTTGGACAAAAGCTTTGTTCTCATCCCTCAGATGCCTCAAACTGTCTGCACTCTGTGGCAGCGGATTTTAATGGTGGAATACCCACGGCACCTTCGGAGGAAGCAAGCTATTCAATCCCAGCCAATTAAGCTTCCACACACCCGGCCTGGGAAATGACTTCCAGCATCCATTGTTCTTCCTGTACAGATGTTTCCTTCTCCACCAACACCCAAACAGGATCTTCACTAGTGCAGTCAACTAGAAGCAACGCAGTGGACTTCCTGAAGCTGCTTCTGTGCCTCTGTAAAGCGCCCGAAGTGGTTTCTGTTCCACTCACCAGAAACAATGGAGCTTAACTGGGGTTCAAAAGTCACTCAGACTCATAAATACACGCCACTGGCCACGGGCTCAAATTTTAACCAGGTGACCATGGGGATGCCGCAACAGTCCAAAGTGTGAAAACTGGTCATAAATCGCTTTTTTCAGTGCCACTGTAACTTTGAATGTCACTAAACGAATGGCTGTTTAAGTCGAGGACAACCTATATACCCACCTTTAATTTCCCCCCTGTGGGTGGAGGAAAAAAGCAACTGCCTGAAGTTAGGATGAAAAATAATCTGTCCAGGAATATAAATATTTTCCCACATCAAATTCAAAAATAAGCTGCTACAATAGGTAGCTAAAAAAAGCCCACCCAAACATCTCTGTTTCTCACAATTCAAGGAAAAACATGGTAAAGTAGATGAAACTAGTGAAACTTAGTGTTCCATAGAGGGAGATATGTATAAACTTCTGCTCAGAATCATTTTTCTCTGGGTTATACAACCTCCCCAAAACAAGGATCATGAAGAAGATGCTGGTTAATGATACTGTGCTATGTGCCAAAAGCAAACTTAGTCCAAACTGAATCCCCTACATGGACAAGAGTTGTTATCAGCAATACTTGCAAAGACCAGAGAAAGAAACTCAAGGGTAGGAATCAACACAAAAGCATAAGCGGGATCATCTCAAGAGTGACAAAACAGAGAAACAGGAAGATTGAGAGAAACAAAATGAAGAAAAAGAGGCCAAACCTTGAATCCATCATTTTGCGGCAGGCCAACAGCTGTAACTGAATGCTACTCTTTCAGGACTAAATGATCTGCCTTCCACTCCTGCCTTCCCTTAACGTTGGTCGCCTTGATACAGCCGTCAATCCACCGCTACTTACCAGCCCAGCTTGTCCAAACAACAACTGTACAGCAGTTTTACAGGCTCCCCGCCATGTAGAAGGGCAAACTTGATTCAGGACTTCTGTCACAGGAGAGTCATCTCTTGGGGTCATTCCATTATGGTAGCCAGCTTCTTTAATTAATTGTATCATAGTGTGCTGTCAATATACACAAGGGGGAGAAGTTAAGCAAAAAACAAGCAACATAAATATTCCCCATTCCAACTCAATATATTTTGCACTGCTGACATCTAGCATTCCTACTTATATTACTCTTGCTCAAGTTATGATGGCCCAAGCCAAACTTCACCAGTTTCCCACAAACTTACTGCTTCCAGGCATTGCCACGCCCCCGTTCCAGCTCCAATTATTCGATGTGCACATGGACAGGATCAAAGGAAATGCCAATGGCATCCAGAAGCAGTACAAGAGAATGTTGGAAAGTGGTACTGAGTGGAGAGAAAGAAACAATGCATGAAACCATCATGTTAGAGAGATTTGGGGATAGTTTAAAGAGAGGTTGTTTGCTTTAATTTTTATGTTTGTCATTAAATCCAACTCTTTCCATAACTGAAAACCAGAGCCAGGATATGAGATTTCAAGTGGAACACTGTTCTCAGCTGAAATTCTCCCAACAATAGGAATCCCAGAGCAAGAGGGATAGCAGAGAGAAGGATTTCTATCTAATTATATTTAATTAATCATGGACAGAATCTGCCTATAAAGATATTTACAGTTTCAAGGCCATAATTTCAATGTAGAATCATTGAAATATAAAAAGAACGTGAAAAGAAGCAACTCTTTTCACACATTTTAATGAAAACTACTGGTTTTCTGCAGCAAAGATATACTATGCCAATTGATAGCAACAGAAAAAATATGTAGAGTTCATAGTCTATCATGTAGATAGACTATGCTAACAGAATGAATCATAAGAGTTAAAAGGGAAATCTATAAGAAATGTAAGAAGAAGAATATAGTCATTTCCAGGGAGGTATAGCTCAATCCAAAGAAAAAGTGGCGATGGCAAGAAGGCAGAACATCTTAATTCCTATTTTGAACCAGAAGAAATTGGAGTCCTAGTTGACCATCATTGTGACACTGGAGAAAAAAGAGGTTAGAGAAGGGGAATATAAGAATATAACCAATTTAAGAGAACTGTAGTTTGTGGGGCCAGATGGACTTCATCTTAGGTTACTGGAGGCTACAAAAAAACTGCTTTTATTATGTTCTGAGAACTCCAGAAAGAGGGAAGAGAATAGCAACAAAGATGATAAAGCGTATGATGAACAGTTGCAGGAACTGGGTATGTCTATTCTAACAAAGAGAAGGACTATCGGTGACATGTCTTCTAATATTTGAGGGGGGCTATGTTTTTCTGTATTTGTTTCCGTCTTCAATGTCTTTACAGATGTTATAATACTGCTTCTTGTCTCTTCTAACAGCATTCTGGAAGTCTAATAGGACTTTCCATGTTGTGAAGAGAAAGGTTATTGACCGGTAGTGGGATGGTTTCTTTCCTTGTGGGGGTCCTTCACAATTGGCACTGTCCTGTGTCCTCTCTGGGTGGAAGTCGGCTGTTAGCAGCATCGATGATGCTAAACATTCATTCACTGCTTTTGGTTTCTTCAGTCAGTAGACATGGATCATGTCCAGGCCGGTTATTGTTCAGCTGTTCATGTTCTTAACCCATTGTTTATTTCATTTTTATTTATTTTTCACATTTCTGAACCACCCATCACCCTCAGAGAGAGACTCTTGTTGAATGTCTGTTACTGTGATGGTGACCGGTTCATGTTCTGGGAGATTGCTGTCGATGACTCTCAGGTCCTGCAGCCAGTTTGCACTGGTGTTACGTATCTTCTCTTTCTACAATATGTTCTTCCAGTCTGGTTGAGTTTCTGCTGTTGGTGGTTCTGCTGTTACCTTGTTATTGAACTGCTGTTAGGAGTACATCTTGGAGGGTTCTTTGGAGAACTGGCCAGTTATCTTCTTAGCCTCTGCTTCTCTCGCGTATCTCCTTAAGTGCTGTAAGCCTTTGTTCAGCATTCTCTAAGGTTTCAGGTAGTCGGGCCCTTGTATTTTTTCAGTAATCGAGTCTTATCCTTAATCTCCATAACCGTCTGTAGTTCTATCGACTAATTACTCTCTGAGATGCCTTAATCAAAACTTTTAGCCTAATTTTCTGGGGGAGGCGGGGAGAAGAGGATCTTATTTTAAATTATGCAGCCAAGCATCCCAGGATTACAGCAGCTATAGTGTATCACTGGGTTAAATTATGATGGTAATAAGGATTGTCATGAGGGTTCTACTGGCGTCTTCTTGCGTACAATCTGACAGTACTTCTCCACTGGGTCTTGGTAGCCGGCAGCTAATTGATCCATGATCTTATATGCCATATTAGTATTTGTGCTCTGTAATGGAGGGGGTGGAAACTTTCCAGATTCAGATGTTGGTTGCGCATCCAGTTGTTTTTCCAATTCTTCTTGAGTCAGGAATGTAATATACAGTTGATCTACCTCAAGGTGTGAGAACAGCTTCCTCTTCATTATGTTGAAACATTGGACGTAGGTTTTCTGTCCATCCATATTGATCATATGTCTCCTCTGATCAGGACTACAGTTATAGTAGCATTTTATCAATTCCAGGTTCTCTCATTTAATCCATATACGGTTTGTTTCAGTAGTTCACTTATCTTCAGGTTGTTGGTTTCACAAATGTGATGCTTGTTAATCGAGGTGACATGTGAGCCGGCATAACTCTTAAGTTTGTTTCATTCTCATACACAAAGTAGGCAGGGTCTTTGCTCAAGGATCCCTATTGGTAAACTAGGTACCATCCAGGATTTGAGCCCCAGTCTCCCACATCAAAGGACAGTGTTTTAGCCACTATGCTATCCAACCACATACACATATGCACACAATTTTTATTAAGAATGTTGATTATAATAGTAAAATTTAATACAAATTAAACTTAAAAGACAATAGGAGTAAACATGCAAGAAAAAAGTAATACAATGAAGAAATAAAGATTGATTTCCAATCTTCATCACAAGTGTAAACAAATTCAGTGACTCCTTCACCTCTTTTGAGGTTGCAAAATGTATCCCATCCTAGCCCATCTCTTATGTATAAAGTACGATCTTTTCAATCCTTATGTCGGCAAAAAATCCCTAAAGGATTGCCAGAATTAGCAACATACCTTGTTCCCTGCAGCCACCACCTCCAGCCCTGCCACCATGAGGAGGAGCACAGCAAGAATTGGAAGGTTAGACCAAGACACAGAGGCTAAGTTCACGTGAGGAGGAGTTTCCTTGCAATTACAGGTAAAAGTGTGCTGCCCAAATTGAGACAAGGAAGCAAACCATGACCACCCAAAGCCATTCTGAACACAAGAAGAAACTGTTAGAGAAGTTCAGGATGGCCTGACGCAAAGCAGAAAAGATGCCCAAGTAAAATGGCAGAGAGGTTTTCTTAGCTGAACACAGAACTGGTTTTTGCGCCTAATTCAACTTTACCTTCTCATGAATATACTTGTCCCAGTAACACCAATTTTCAAAGGCCTGCTCTTTGCCTCTATGTTTTCAGCACACAAGGTTCTACTCAAAGCAGTAAAAGATTTGACAATGCAAACTATTTCATTTAGAGACTTACCGTTTTCAGTTTTAAATTATCTGCTGCAGATTCATTGAAGGAGATTCCTTTCAGAAAGTGGGCCCCTATCTGGATGGGAACTGTTGGCAGCTCACACTGAATCGGCTGAGAGGGAGTCTGTCTCCGTCCAGTCTGCTGGGCTTCAGCTTCACTGCAACAGCCCTTTTGCAAGACACAAAAGGCCAAAGCAAAACGTAACAATTTAATTGTTACCCAGCAGTTTTAGTGGATCCCCTTGACTGGATCCAGAGAAAGAGGCTCTTACCTGCAAGCTTTCTTCAATTGCCTTTGGATTCAAGTGGAAACCAGCCTTCATTGCATATTCACAGTGACCCAAACTTTCCAAAGCAACCTTGTATGCCTGATACATGTACAAAAAAAGCATCTCATAAGAGATAAATACAGACTGTCCATAAAACCTAAAAAAGGAAAACCGATTCGGTATTCAATCACTCGTTAATATGGATCTGTGGTTGTGTGAGGTCTAGACATTAAAGAAAATAATCCCACTAGGGAAACTGACCTGCAAAGCACTGTCTGTTTTCAAGTTCAGCTCTTTTAGCTGGTGCTCTGGAATGGCCACATTCTGGGAGCAGAAGAGTTGCTGGACCTGAATTCCAGCCAAACATCCGTCTTTCTCTCGAAGCCGCGAAGTAGCCTTTAAATAGATGGCAGGAAATGTGAAGGTGACAAAATGACAGAAGTAATTTTAAATTGTTTAGTGAGGTTAAATTTCATAATTTATATCATATTGGGACCTTAGTTAAAGTTTAGGAAAGAGACCCTGCCGCTTTGCAGTGATCAAACAAAACAAAACTCTGATCAAAGATCACCTCATCATGACAGACAAAGGGACTAACTATGCAAATATAACTCTTTTTGTATCATTTTTGAAAACATTTTTAAAACAAAAATAGTACAGATTTTGAAAGAGGAAAGGAAATGAAAGTAATAAGAAAGAAGAAAAGAAAAAAGTTATAAAGAAGTGGCTTCCATTTTCTTATCAGCAGTTACATTTATATTTTACCCTCTCCTTCTAAGGCTACAACATAATTTTTTTCCCACAATCTATCCTTTCTACTCATCAAACTCAAAAATCACAAGTTCATTCTTTTTCTTTTTTTTGGCAAAAAGTCATTTCGGAGTTTCCAGTCACTAATGAATGTTAATTAATTAATACAGCATTTTAAGATTCTGTCTCTGTTAAAAAAATTAGAAGTGTTAATTATGTTAATTATTAGGGGCTAAAAGTGGCCCCTTTAAGTCCGATTGGCTGGGTTAACTTTCCTGTTGCACATCCCACCAATCTCTTTGATGTAATTAAGCAGGTCTTCTGAACGTGGCCGTAAAGAAATTCCCTAGACCTGGAAACCTAGCTACCCTAAAGGAAGCCAAGATCAATTCAGTGCTAGGTGAAGGGCATGGCAACAATTTTCCATCTCCCGGTTAAAGGTGATGGGAGCCTGAATTGAGAACTGCTGACGTCTCCGCACAGCAGCGCAATCCCACCTCTCTTGCTCCCTTCCAGGACCGTGTTGCTTCATCCAGTTCGGCTGTGGGGCTCACGCCGGATGTCTCCCTCAGGCCAGGATCTTTTCTTCCTTGGGCTGCAGCCTCACTGAAGCATGACTGAGCCACTGGCTGGACTTTCTGCAAAGCCTGGGAGAGAAACTGGAAGTGAACCTGCATCACGGTCAAAAAGCAGCGTCCAAGTACCTGTTAAAATAAGAATAAATAAATAAACCATGAAGTTGGCAGTTTTTCATGAAGTTGCAACCATCACAATATCCCCACAATCATGTGATCACAATTTGGGTGAATGACAACCAACCCTCCCTTATGAGAGGTGCAGAGTCCCGTGTCACAGGATCACCACTGCAAACCCTTTCTGCCAGCCTCCCACAAGCAATGGGGAAGCTGGTAGGAAGTCAGAGGTAGCTCCTGCTTCCACTGCTTTTTCATTTGCCCATGCTCCACAGCACCTGCCCATAGCTCCATCATCCCCCTGTGGTGCCCACCACCCTCTTTTCTTTTCCCACTCAACAACCTGTTTGGTCTTGGGGTTACAGTGGCAACTGGGGCTGTGGGATTGCCATTGCTAAGGAATAGGGTCACATGATCATGCACTTTATGACCGTATCACTTAGCAACAGAAATTCTGTTCCCAATTACCATCAAATCTGAGGACCATCTATATAAGGCTAAAGTAGCACCTATAGTGACTTATAGTGCAAAACTGTGGGGATTGTCACAAACATCATTGCTTGAAAAAACCCACACTCACTTCTTAAGATCCATTCTGGGAACAAATAAAACACCCCTGCCTCTGCAAATAGAGCTAAAATAGGCATCCACTCCATCCACAGCTGTACAACAATTCAAGCTTTCAACTATTGATAGAAGGTTCTTTTGGGGGATCATAATGAATTATCAAAAAGTGTCTTGTCAAACAGTCTGGCATGTTCCATCCTATCAACATGTTAAAATCAGTTTCCAAAACCATCTCACTCCAGGGATATTCATGCCCATATTTAATCTCAGTCGGCCAAGTCAAGGACATGTTCAAACAAGAGGGTTAATACTAGTGCTCAAGTTGATAAAGTGACATTTACGGTACTAACATTAAATCGTTAAAATGTTGGCTCAGACCATTTTACAACATATCTAACTATGGTGTGATACAAAATCAAAGAATAGCCCTAACCAGTGCAAGGTTTGAACTCGATTTTAAACATGGATAATTTCATCAAGTACCTCATCCAGAAAAGAGATGTATATGTGGCCCACCACAAATAGAGGACATCACTCATATCCTCTTTGACTGTCCATTAAATGCTTCAGCCAGAGCATAGCATTTAAAGTCACTAATTGGCAAGACAGCCCATCAATAAGCTCTTACCTCCTCCAAGGCACAGACTCATCATGTACCTTAAGAAAAACTGCCATGTTTACAGCTAAAACCATTCAACTCGAGAGCTTCCAGCTTAGATTAGTTTGGGGTTCACTGCCAAGGGGATGATCTTACATGATTATTTCACTGAATATTTTTATATCCCAATACACAGCATTAGTTATCTTATTGTATTTAATATGCTCATACTAATTAATAAACAATAAATTAAACTAAAATCAAAACTAAAACTCTTTCCTACTATTTTTCCCAGCATAGAGCCTTCTCCAGAGAGATAGGTCTTCACATAATCTGTCCGAAGTAGTACAATTTCAGCCTGTGACGCATTTGTGACTTGAATGAAAATCCAGGGTTGATTTGTTTGATGATCCATTGGTTTATTTTGGCTGTCCATATTATTCTTTGGAATTTTCTCCAACAACAGAGTACAAAAACATCAGTAAGTGTCCTATCTTGTTTCTTTTACTTGCACGGAGTATCATAGGGAATGTCAGGTCTGTAGCTTTGTACCGGGGGCTATGATGGTTGAGACTTCCAGGGATGGCTGTGGCTTTGCTTTTTACAGCCCCAGAGCAGCAGCATGCCAAGAAGTCCCAGGACAACAAGCAGCCACAGGCTCCACAGTTCTGGAGCTGCTTGCTGTCTCACAAGGCAGGTTGCAGGGTGGCCAAAAGGGCACAGATGGGGGAAGGAGTTGAAGAGGAGACGGTCCCTTATCTTACTGAAATTCAAGATTGTGAGGGACTAAGCCAGAGTAGTTTTGATCGGGTGGGTTCACAGCTAATGACCAGTGTTAAAGACAGCAATGCCAGGATTTCTGTTGCTAAGCGATGCAGTCGTGTGGCACTGCTGTTTACAATCACATCACTTTGTGATGGAAATTTCAGTCATTAGCTGAGAACTACCTGCATATCACTAGTCATTTCATGATTTGATCACTGCAATGCACTTTGCACGAACTGCTTTTAAATACTACTCAGAAGCTTCAAATGGTCCAGAATGCAACAGCAATAGCAGTAATGGGCATGCTTCAACATGTCAATGCAAGACCTCTGTTTTGCAAGCTGCACTGCTTCCCAGTATGCTTCCGTGTGCGATTCGTGCGGACTCTGTTACCTGATGCCAATCTCTTCTGGTGTCAATCCAGATGGTTCAATCTGGTAGAATTGGTATGCTTTGGGTTCCTTTGATCAAGCAGTGCTATCTATGGGAAGCTTAGAACCTTCTTAGTCTCTTCTGGAATGAGGTTCCCCTTGAAATCTGGTGCTCTTGTGGATTTAAAGACCCGGCTGTTCTCCCAGGCAGCAGGGAACAAGGTTTTTGTGTTGCTACCTGCATTCACAATCTTATCTAACATTTCCTACTTTGATTCTATATTTTTATTTGTTCTTATACTAAGCCACCCAGAGTTTATCTGGAATTGGGCAGTACCTAATTCTTGGAAAACTTATTAACAGGGTTTTCATTAGCCTTCAAATAAAATCCTTTTGATATACTAAAAAGTTGTCAGGATAACATTTTAATAGCTATAGCGCAGAAACTATTTCCTAGAATAAATATGCTTTTTCATAGACTCATACATTTGTATGCAACTCAGAGGTCATCTAGTCTAATGTTCAGTATTTGATTCATATGCAAATTAAAATAAAATTCAGGTGTTCTAGTAAAGTTTCAGATGCCTATCCTATTACAGAAGCTTTATTAAATACACAGAAATAATTTCAGCTACTACTTTTGTCATCTACTTATGTAACTAAAAAAACCCTCTGTATTTTATACGTGATATTATTGCCAATGGAATCTGGAAAAGAGCAGTGTATTTTTATCAAATTAACTGATGCCGGTATTTTGAAGATTCTATGATAAAAAAAGAATGATAATCAAAAGGGTTTCACAGACCGAAGAACATATGGTCCTATTAACTTTTCCCCTTGCTTCATTTATTTATTTATTAACAAGAATGGGTCAGAAATGGTCGAACCTAAATCTACTTGAGTAGAACTGCTTATAGTAGTGGCTCACTCCTCTAGTCTCTTCTGACATTCCATTACAATTCAATCATTTCCTTTCTTCCTACAAAGCTTAAACCTAACAGCTTAGGTATGCCGACTGACTTCTCTGGGAAGTTTCATTATTTTAAGTATTCAACAAGAAAGTACCAGAAAAGAATTGCACCACTTAGGGGCTTTGCAAAACCTCTTAAAGAAACAAAAACTATTGGTTTTGAGTCCAATTCATTTAACTTAAAATAATGTATTTAATATATTTACTTTAATATTTATTCTGAAAATATCAGAGAGCACGTGATAATACAAAGAATATGCAGCTCCATACTATTATGATAAATAAAAAGAAGTTGACATTACAGAACAGACTGTCAACACAGCCAGCTTAATTTACAAAACTTCAGAACATACAACTCTATATCCATTTAAAATAGTGGTTTTCCTTCAAAATGTTGCAGATTGAGATGCAAGAAAATGTGTTTTATGTTAAAAGGTCATCTAGGTGCACAAATCATCATCACTTGAATAATTTACACAGATTGTAAGTGGAAGGGATGACATTTTTTTATTTTTTCTCAATTACAACCCAGTGTGAGCTTGGAGGAGTGGGCACATGGCAGTTGCTAAGCATCTGAATAAGGATGGAACATAAGCTCATCAGAATTCACGTGGACATGCTGCAGCACACTCACCCACCTATTTCCCTCCCATCTTGACCTGCCAGCTCCCCAAAGGCACTGGCCTGCCTTGCCACCCCACCAGGTTCCACGTACCCCCAATCACCATTTGCTCACTCACTTTTTGAAGATATCCAGAGCTTAGGAAGTCAGAGTAGGGAAGGCCACTCCCTTGCTGGCCATTGCTGGGCCATGGGACACAATCCAGAAGAAATCCTGCTGCTTTTGCTCCCCTTGCAAGCCACACTACCTTTACACACAATCCAGGAGAAGAAACACTGTTGCTTTCACTCCCTTCACCATCCGTTCCTCCCCAACGCTGCTGCCCCTTTTGCAAGGGGAGCAAAAGCAGCAGTGTTCCTTCTCCTGGATTGTGCCACGTGGCGTGGCCCAGCAACGGAGCGGCCTGATTGTGACAGGGTGGGGTATGGAAGAGGCCCACAGGGCTTTGGGGAACCCAAGGGGCAGGAAGCTGAGCATGAGATATCTCAGAATGTGGGGGTGCCCATCTGCCTGCACCAGGCCTCCCACCCAAGTCACTGTGGGCTCTACCTAACGATTTACGCATTCGTTTAAAGACTGGATTGGAGAAAGCAGGGACGGGAAGGACCTTAATTATGCATTTCACTTAACATATAACTTGACTTCCGACAGTAACAGGCAGGCTCCATTACTGTCGTAAGTCGAAAACTACTGTCTTCTGTTATTCTGTTAAACTGTGCCAGAAAGCCTACTAAATCATCCTCAAGAAAGGCTGTCCAGCCTTTTCTTAAAAACCTCCCAAGATGAACATACTGCAGCTTCTGTATGTAGACTGTTGTATAGATTTTACCATCAGAGTGTTTAACCTAAACACCTAAATTACTTTATGTATAAAGTACACACAGCTTGCTATCCTCACTATTAACATCACTGAAGCTTAACAGCTCTGAAGACTAGAAATAATATTTTAATCATCTTACACATAAACTCAGACAGGAACAAACAGAGAACAATCAAGGCTATCTATAATAAAGGGAGACATATTCCAATGTAACTTCATTCATATATACTTACATGTCCCAAATTATAAATGATGTAAATATATTTAGCATTATGCGAAAAGAAAAATGCACTTCTGACTGTGTACTCCCTAATGCAAATGGCAAGGTAGCACACATGTGGTATCAGCAATAAAAATAAAGTGACACCTGTCATTTTTACTTAGTACAGAAATGCCTAAGGCAAACTGTTGGGATGGATATAGAGAGCAGGAATGCAGAAAATTTAGCTAATAGTACCAGTTGCACAGGAGAGTTTTGCAAATTTAGAACAAGGAATAGTTTTCTTGTATCTCTTACAAAAACACAGAGAACACAAAGCAACCAGAAGCTTAAGAAAAAGATGTGCAGAAAGCTATTGACAGTATAGAGAAAGATATTGCTAAGCTGGAGCAGCATAATCTTGCTGTTTAACAAGCATTTATGCAAGAAAAAAATTGATTCTTATCAAAACCTCCTTGCAACAGTATTTTTTAAATCATGTCCTCAAGATAATCTGTTGGTATTCTTCTTGCTTTCTCCACAGATGTCATTTGAATTACAATAATAATTGTAATAGCAAAAAAGTAACTAGATCCTTTACTATTATATTAAACTTAAAGTGAAGTCGGTGTAAGAATCAAATCTTCTGACCAGGCCAGAATAAGATGATAGCAAAGCAAAGCATTAACATAAAAATATGCTGGCATGTACAGGGTCCAAATAATTCACCACTAACCCAATTCTTATAAGGTCATTTGGTAGATTAAGTTGCAATATAGAATGTTACCATACATTTAGGCTCTATTTGTTCTTTCTAATAAAGGATCTATTTGATTTATTAGGATAGGATAGGATAGGATAGGATAGGATAGGGTAGGATAGGAGTTGGAAGGGACCTTGGAGGTGTTCTAGTACAGCATAAGTAGCATCAACAGAGAGATAGTATCAAGGTTGCATGAAGTGTTATTGCTTTATACTGCCTTAGTAAGTCCACACTTATTGCATTCAGTGTTGGTCATCACAATACAAAAAAAGAATGCAGAAATGTCAAGCGCAGGGAAATCGGGAGAATCAGGTAGTTCAAATGAGTATAAAGATTTATTGCAAGTTTAAGCTCTCTACAAAAATCTGAGCTACTAACGGTCAAGGGAAATGAGCGGGAATTAAGAAGGCATTCATGGTGGGCTGGACCTAGATCTCTTGTGAGCACACAGAGACTCGTGACTTATGATGCATTTGACGCCTCCCTCAGGCTCAGCCTGGTCATCTCCTACAGAAGAGCAACAAAGGTGACTGGAAGCTGAACCGTATGGTGAATGGTTACCATAACTGGGAATGTGTGATCTGACGCAGAGGAGAACTAAGGGTGACATAGTAGCAGTCTTCTAATATTTGAAGGGCTGTCACAGAAAGGAGGGGGTCAACCTATTCTTCAAAGCACCTAAGGGTAGGACAAGAAGTAATAGATGGAAACTTATCAAGGAGAGATCCATTTTACAACCAAGGAGAAACTTCCTGTCAGTGAGAACAATCAGTGGTATGGCTTGCCTCCAGAAGTTGTAGGTACACCATCACAGAAGTTTTAAGAAGAGATTAGACCCCCATTTGTCTGGAATTTTATAGGGTCTCCTGCTTAAGCAGGGGGTTTAATAGAAGACCTCTCAGGTCCCTATATATAACTCTGTTATTCTGTATTCTGAGCTATTTTTAAAAGCTACTCTGCAAGCCTAAGATGCTAAAAAAATATGGCACCATCCAAAATTAGCTGAATCTCTCTCTCTCTCTCTCTTCCCCTCCCTCCCTCTCTCTCCCTTCCTCCCTCTTCAGGACTGTGCTTTACCATATGCATTGCAAATTCAAGGGAGCTAATTATCATTCCCAAACAGAATGATAATTCTGTTATCTCTGTATTATCAGTATGAATGGCTCTTATTCCATATACGCTGATTGCTGCTGGAAGAGACAATCAAATTCTACAACACCTGAAAACAAGTATTTTATCACCTTTTAAATTCATAAAGTAGAGCCATGCCAATTGCAAACTTCATAAGGTATTCAGGAATTCAATGCATGTCATAAACCTTACTGGTGGGCCCTATTTCTGAATATTGTACCAAACCTCAAAAAAAGATTCAAAGGGTTCAAAACTTAATCTTAGATCAGTGCCATCTTCTTAGAGGCAATGTCTAGAAGTAGCATACTTAAACATATGGATCAGTTACCACTTTAAACATCCAAACTCTACAGTATAAGTGAATGAGCATTATAATGCAATTATTTTTTGAACTGTCACTGCAGCAATAGATGGATATGTGGATGAATTTTTGCATTTTATTTCCTACATTTGCAGGGATTGATATAAAAAAAAAAAGGGATCAGTAGATTCCAGGGAAATTAAAAACAACAATTGCATTCATTCTTATAATGTCAGTATCCAATTAAAGCTAACTTACCATATATCTATAATCACATGAATGTCTGTTTCTATTAGCGGTACTTTAAATAGTTACTTGGGAAGATATGTGTTATGACAGCATCAGTCCATCTGTTAAACATGTCATAGTAACACAACCGCTATTCTCCCAAAGAAAATACCAAATGCAGTAGCACAGATGTTTCACTAATTGATTTCTATTAGATGTGTCTACCCTGACTGCGATCCTAAAACCCCTGGCAGATCTTGACTAAAGAAAGGGAGCAACTTACCTCAATGTCCTGCAGGCTGAATTCCTTCTGATCTTTAAAGTTGGCTGCTCCAGCACTAAGTTCCATGAGCATTTTTGCAATTTCTGGTTTTATTGCTGCTGTGAGTCGACTTGCTGCCTCCATGACATGTTCCTGCACGTCCTTCAGTTGCATAGCTGCCTTAGAATAGTGCGAGTTCCGGAATACACTGCTGAAAAGGTCTGTGAGGAAAGTGCTTGCACGACAAAACACATTGAGTGCATCTAGGTATTTGGAGATTCCCTGCTGGAGGTCTGCGACTGGAGTCGCGTGACTGCAGCTGCCAGCAGCAGCCAGGGAAAGCAGGGGAGAGGTTGGAACTGAAGGTGCTAAGGAGGCACCCAGAGTCTTGCCTAGTTCTGGCACTTGATACTGCTGGTGTTGCTGCCCTTTTTGCTTGGACCCGCCAAGCAAAAAGCGCCGCTTATAGTCCATTTTACTTTCTTGTGCACTGCAGCAATACATAAGGAAGTACTTGGCCAAGGTTTTTTTTTTGAATTAATTCATTCTCATGAGTTGCTCTCTTGGAAATCCATCTATGTGTAGCAGTAGTAGAAGGGTATGCACATAATTTTCAGAAAAGGCATTTGAAAAAAAAAATCTAGGTACTAGGTGTCAGTAGTGAAAATGGCAGCAATTTTGCTGACTCGTACAATTCACTGTTCAATTGCAGCACTGCTGCAATTACAATTTATAATCATAAAAGCAAGTGGTGGTAACTAAAATATTATTTCCTCCTTAGCATTCTACAGTGGACACTCAAAATGTCGTTTGCTGTTGTTTTCCTGTCAATACATTTCTGACACCTGATGTTAATATTGTTTTAAATTGAAGAAAACTCATGTTTAAAAAGTAGTACCATTGTTATAATTTTCTTCAGTTAGTATTAGGAAAGGAAAAGCAAAATCACTGCTCAACAGTGATGATTAATGCAGACTATTACTGTTCTTGAAGAACCACCGAGTCTAAACATCAGCAGACAAAATAACTTCTTGATTTGACAGAGCCTGTCAGTCAAATCCTATCCTAATACTGAAAAAAAAAGAATATTTGTTTTCTAGAGTCTTTGCTACTACACTTTATTCATAACATAAGTTTTCTTTTCTTTTTATTGCAAACCTTTCCACTTTTGCTTCTTGGTGCTGAGGTAGTTTCCTTTTAATATTACTAAGTGGTGCTTTCAGGGTTCATTTTTCTTGATTGTAGAGTATATAGGACGCAGAAATGTAAGGCCTCTAGGTCATTTCCTGGCAAGGAAAAATTGCAAAAAGTTTATTGTTTAGTAGTATGTTTTATTACAAAAAGTTAATTTCTACCTGTCTGACAATAATCTGGATAGTAGACTACCACACAAACACTTGTGTATCTTATTTGTAAACCGAACTAAAAAAAATAAATTCAAGGTATCACATGTCTTTTGTCATTTACAGTCCAATCAGCCATTCAACACTTCCTCTGTTTATACTTCTGGTCTTATAAATGCCTTGAGAGAAGTCAGATGATATTTGAATGTGACCGATTTTAAGGAAATGACTTCCACTTCTCAAATGAGATCACTAGCTTCAACTGAAACTAATGCTGGCGAACTTCCAGCTGGATAAAAATTTTGTCTGACACACTGAATACACAGCTGTTTGCATATATAGATAGTCCTCAAACCTATGACCACATCTGAGCCCAAAATTTATGCTGCTAAGTGAGACATTTGTTAAGTGAATTATGCTCCATTTTATGACTTTTCTTGCCACAGCTGTTAAGTGAATCACTGCAGCTCTTAAGTTAGTAACACTTGTTAAATGAATTTGGCTTCCCCACATTGACTTTGCTTGTGATCAAATTTTGATCACATGACAATGGGGATGCTGCAATGGTCATAAGTATGAAAAATGGTCATAGGTCACTTTTTCCAATGCCATTGTAACTTCTAATGGTCACTAAATGAACTGTTGTAAATCAAAGAATATCTGTATAGGTCTCAGAAACTATACTCCAATATTTAAAAAAAAAAAAAAAAATCCAGGAGAAGGCCTGGAAAAATTTCTTTCCTTCTCTACAGTCTCTTGTTCATGCAAGCCACTTTTACACCTAAAACATAATGCCACATTCCTGGCTCTCAGGCCCATCAGAAACAGTAAAAAGAAAGGAAAAACAGTAATAAAAAAACAAAGGGTTAAATCCAAGAGTATTAAAAAAAACTGGTTTCCTGTTCTTCAATGTCAGTGCAAATAACAAGAGCACTTAGAAACAAGTGATCTGAGTATAGTGCATCTTTATAAAATTATGGAGGTTTTTTCTTTATTTATTTAAAATATTTAGAGCTTGCTCACTATCCAGAGGAACTCACAGAGGGTTGTAAGTTATAAACAATATCAGTATCAGCTGACTTACAAAGGAAGGGAATACAAAAGCTTTGTATTATTAATTTTGTATTGATTATTAGACATTGAAAATTTTATGAAGTTAACAACCATGGACTACATGCAGCCCAAAACTTTAGAATTTAGAATAGAATAGAGCTGGAAGGGACCTTGGAGGTCTTCTAGTCCAGCCCCCTGCTCAAGCAGGAGAACCTACACCGTCTCAGACAGGTGAATGTCTTATACTTAATAGATATCAATTAATCCTCCCTTTTTGGAAAGAGGAAATTTCAACCTGTTTTGGAAGGATGAGAGACAGCAATTCATGCTGTTTTGGTGAGGGAGTTGCTTGCCTGCTGTCCCAGGGAAAAGGCCCACCGCAGCCACAGAGTCACTTGGCTTTGCTGCAGCCCCAACTGGCCAGGAGCGTCCAGCGTCTGGGGGGGCTGCTCTTGTTCAAGCCACAAGTGACGGCAGCGCCAAGCAATCCTCCCCACTGCAGTTAAACTCAGGCAGCAGCACACTCGTTTTATCATGGCTGCTGACTAATTTTATTGTTATTTGTTCTAAAATAAAATATCATCAGTGTTTATTGTATTTTACTTTGTTAACGATTTCCCAGTTGCACGCCCTCAGAAAGTTGTAGGCTACATGCAGCCCAAGAGCCACATATTTGACATCTGCAGCTAGGAACTGTTCTTTAAGCTTAATTTTCACTGGATCTGTAGTAGAAGGTTGCGTATTTTCACAACTGTCAGCCAATTGCCATCTTTCCTGAATTGGTTAGACTTGCAGATGTTTATTCGCAAGTCTGTTACAGCCTGTGTCAATTTGAGCAATAAGGCCCGAATTGTTTTGAAAAGTATCCAAACTTTTCAGATACAATGCAGGTTGTACTATTTACCAACTAACTGTTGGACACAGTTTGAAGTACTGGTGTTGACCTTTAAAATCCTAAACAGCTTAGGGCCCATATATATATAATGAACACCTCTTCTTCCTATTAACCTACCCAGTTGAAATAAGCAGACGTCCACTGGTAAAGGCCCCTCTTGCCCACCAAGTGCCTGGCTGCCTAACAGCCTTCTCCTGTGTAATTCCCAGGCCATGGAATACTCTTCCCAGGAAGTTGTGCTACACACACACACACACACGTTTAGAATCTGCCATGTTTTAACTGGGAGTTAAAATTCCTGAATGTTAACTGTTAATAAATTTTAATTATATTGTTTTCTAATTTTAATCATACTGACTTTACAGTTATGGTTTCATGTGTGACAGAAAATCCAAAAGAAACAAAAAAAGGCCAATGCAATACATCATTTTACCCTGTAACATTGCCATGCACATAAATTCAAGAGGGACACAGAACAGGCCTCCCTTGTTCATTATCGTTAATATTAATTATAAATAGTCTTTCTAACAGTGCAAGGAGTTGGAAGTTTTCAGAAAGCAATGTGATTTTTTTCACACATATCCCTCTTTAGGCAAGCTTAACTGATCTCTCCAAAGCCCAGGAAAAATCTCAATATTTCTTAATTATTTAGTAAAAATACGGGAAAAACCTACCTACCAGGAAAACTTCAATTCCCTTCTTTCTCAGGCTCAACAGAGGTATCCTGTCTCAGATCTGGAGACGTGACCAAAAAAAAAAAAAAAAATATGGAGAAAGGAGTGTTTTTGGGGAGAAAAGACGTCATTTTTGTTTTCTTTACCAAGGAAATTTACCAAAATAAATGGATATGAGGAGACAGCCCTGTTTTCATAAGGGCCAGATCCTGAGTCATGTTAAGAGGAACACAGTTTTACTTCTGTTATAACATTATTTGAACCACAGGAATCAGTCCTAAATGAAAAGGGCTTATCCAAGAACATTCATAATTCTGCATCTAAACATGTCCACCTTCCCTATACCAGGGAACAAGGCAAGCTTCAACTTTTGTCCATGTTTCCAATAAGTCAGCACAATATCTACCAACTAAATGTCACCACTTCTGGATATCTGTAGAGGTCAGAACTTTATGAGCCATGATATTCCCTGTAACATTCAGTGGAAGTGAAGGTTGGACTCTGAAGAAGCAAGTTAGTCAGAGTTTGCCTTTGAACTTTGGTTTTGTAGAAAATTCTGAGAATATCATGGAGAGCCAAGAAAACAAACCAGTGGGTCATCAAACAAATCCAACCCAGAATTCTCGTTTGAGTTGAGGCACAAATGACCAGGCTCAAATTGTCTCACTTTGGACCCATGAACTCACAGTGTTGCTAGGAAACAAAAACATCTTTATGGTCTGTAATCATTCAATCAATCAATCAATCAATATGAATTCATGAAGATAAATGAAATTGCACATTAACAAATATAATGAAAGGAAGAGCGGTACGAATGAACATCCTTCCTTAAAAGCAGAGTTTTAAGAACCATAAGCAAATGCCAATAGAGAACTGACTGATGCAGCTGAATCGCTCAACATTTCAGCTAATGGGATCAAGGAGCCTTCTCTGCTCTGGCCCCCACCCTCTGAAACGTCTTGCCTCCCTAGTTGAGATCCGCTTCCACTCTTCTGACCTCCTGGAAAAGCCTTAAACTTTGGCTCTGCCAGTTGGTTTGGGGGCCCAAAGGGGGTGTCCTCTGCTGGAGATGGTTGATGTCCACCCCAGTAAATTTAATTTAAAATTTAAATTTTAATACTTTTATATGTATATTTTATATTATTACAAGCCACCCAAAATCACTTGAGACAATATAAATTGAATGCATAAATAAACGTTCAACTACTGTCTCTACATGAACAAGCCCAAACCTTCCTGAGTGACAATGCATCATTTCCTTGGAAGCATCTTTTGATAAAGAAGAACTTGGAATCATCTTGGTGAAGACATGTTATGGGGAAATTTGTCTCTTTTGACATCTGTTTCAGAATCAAAGAACATGAGACATGGGAGAAACAAGAATGGATTTCCTATTTTTCTTCCCTTTAGATCAGAGCATAATTTGCTTATGCTAAATTAGAACAGGACAGGACAGGAATAAATGGTAACAACCAGTGCTGCTTTTTCTTCAAAAAAGGAAGCATTGCATACCCCTCTTCAGCACTGATGTTTAATCAA